ACATTTGCAAAAGCTTTTCTGTTGATTTGGAAGCAGTTTTAGAAAGCAAGATGCCATGAAAATTCATGGAAGAGAAATGTCATGGAACCAGAGAAAATATTGTTATAAACAACTTTTCGTTTTAAGTGTAAAACTGATGGGAGAAAAAATGAAAAATGGAAAAAAGTGAAAACTGCACTTGACTCAAACAAAAAACCAAAACCGAAAAGTATTTTTCATGCATTAAACATGTGAAAAATTATATTCTAAATTTACTGAGGATAAATCAATAGGAAAAATGAAAGATATGTAAGCTTTCTTAACTTCAAACCGACACATTTAGTACCATTTTATCAAAAAAAAAGGAAAAAATGGGGAGTCCAGTACTATTGCATGTGATGTATATTAAAAAGTAAAAAAAAATTAATATTTTCCTGACGTGAAAATTCTAGCAAAGTGCTTTGTACAAGTTCTTTTTCAAAACATTTCAATAAATCGCTTTTTGATTAAGAAGTACGCACTTGACACGAAAAATGGTGAAACTTCAAAACAGTCAATTGTTGACTCTTTTTTCAAAAATGAGTGTATTGAGTGTAAAAATTCAAAAGAGAACAATTTTTTGGATGTTCTATCTTAGTAATTTAGACTTTCAAGCCAAAAAAAGGTGACAGCCTCTTTGTAGAAGCCTAATAAATCATTCTCAACCAAAAATTTGCAAAATTTAGTAAAATAAGGACAGGATTCTTCTTGAGAAAAAAACGTCGCAATTGATGTGGAGATTTATTAATGTATCAAACTTTTTCCAAGAAGACTCCTGTCATTCCTGGGAATTTGGCAGATATTATGGATAAGAATGATTCTTTAAACTCATGCAAAGAGAATATGGTGCTTTTTTGGGGTTGAAAAGTCAAAATCTGCAGAGATTTTTCGATGCCATTGAAGTTTAGGCGTTGTATGTCGCACCCCACTTCGACCATGCCAAGAACCCGGGACAAATTACCTTAAACTCATGGGTATTCCAGAGAGGTCCAGCTTCTTCTTCATCTAAAATATTTAAAATCAATAAAAAAACTTACAAAACTACAGCATTGGAAGGCTTATTTTCAATCCAACTGGGTATCATTTTTGATCAATCTGTGTGTGCTTTTAACAATTTGTGTGTTTACAAAAGTATTGATGACTAGGATTTATTCAAACCTTTCGACCTTATTTCTTCATATGTTTAACTTTTCGATGGTGAAACTACAGGTTTGCGACATTGTAGACTTTTTGTCATATTTCATTTTTTAAATGTAGAACTACTCAACGGTAATTCTTAAATACTTCCGTAGGTAATTTTTTCTCTCTGTGCAAAGAAAATTCTGAGAAAATTTCAAGGAGTGTTGTTGATTTTTTCTCTTTTTAAAAAAATGAAACAGGAGTCGAGATTTTTATGCATCGAAAACGAGATATGTGGTTTAGGAGTTTCACCGTCTATTTGTCTTATCTTGAACACATAAAAACAATTTTACTGAATTTTTTACCGCACAAACTAGTTAATGCTAATGAATTTTCTGAGGGACGGATTACTCAAATAGGTGGTAAATTGTCTTTGAGACGATGTGGATTTTATTTATATAAGTAAGGGGATCCAAACCTTTTATACTAATTTTGTGGACTCTCTCTTGAAGATCATTAAAATGAGATAGTGTATCACTGTCCCACTGCTTGGCACATATTTTGACCCACTCATTAGAGATACTCTTGTGTAAGACCATCTTTAATTTGCCTCTGACATAAATACTGCAAGAGCCTGTATCCGTTAGGACAACCATGAGACACCTAGAAAAGCATATGAAACATAATATGTAGGTGTTAAAATGACAGGAAAAAACCTGAAAAAGTTTTATCATCCATAAAATTATAATCCAGATAGGTACTGCTGCAAGTGAGTAATAATGGTAGAATACCAATAGGTACCTGAATACCATGACTACCATGAGGGGCTTAGAGGGCAAGACGCAGAAATGCAGTTTACGCTATTTTGAGAAACTCATGTTTGAAGTTTCGAAATTACATGAATCCTTCTGGCGGAGAGAAAGTTCAAACTGACTTTGGATGCTTAAAAATTGAAATTTGAGAGCAAACATTCCACAGAAAATGCATTATAAGACTAGTTTTACTTGAAATCATTAAAGTCTCAATTTTTTCAAAAACTGCACTTCTGCGCCTTGTCCTTCAAGCCCCCTAACTCATGTACAGCAATTGCTTTAGCAGAAAATCAAACCCTCCGATAAATTATTAAAAATAACTTATTTTACCGACAAAAACGGTCAATTTGGGGAAAATTCCATCCTTTCACTAGGTTTTCTTATTTTCAGCATATGAGAAATTTTCAATCCGAATGCACTTTAGGACGATTAGATAGAGAGATATTTATCGGCACCTATACTGATCACGACAGATTCTCATTCCTATCCGCTATTAATGATAGGACAAAGATGTGGCCAGGGACAGTCAAGAGTTTAACGTGAATGTAGTATATGCCAGCCTACAAAGGGTCAGCTAAAAAAAGGTTCATAAATAAACTTGCCTTGAGCAATAGTAAAGTAAAAATTCAAAGAAGCATCTAAGAATAAAATGCTGCAAGTTTTGTTTCCTCTTGGAGACAATTAAATATCTTTCAGACAGAGCAGATACTTGGACACACTTGATTGTGCTTACCTATTACGATAATTGAGTCCTTGGGGAGACCATGAGAACTGCTTGCAAACTGGAATAATGGCTTCCGCTTTGTTAAAACAAGGATATAAATTCTTGTCTAGGATCATCTGATGAAATTCATCTCTTGTAACTTTCCTGGGGATCAATTTCGAAATTTGTTCATGAAACTGATTTGTGGGCAGTGATGAGGGTGGTGCTATGAGGCTCTGCTTGGTTGAAATTGGTGATGTTAGCTTCAACAAATTCAATTGAAAATCCTAAAAATTAACAAATATTCAAATTAGAGTGACGGAGAGTTTTTTTTTTTTTTTTTTTTTTTTTTTTTTTTTTTTTTTTTTTTTTTTCCAAGTGTATCATAACCATCTTTAATCAAATGAAATCATTCTTTAATTAGATGCTGCTCAACTTTCGGACTTCATAATTTATCCCTTCCCAATTGCCAAGGATTCCTGGCTATTGCTCTGCTCAAACCAATGGAAAAATTAGGTACTTAACTCTCGAATTTGACTCCCTACGTTCTCTTATTTAATTTTTAAAAATGCTTGCTTAAAATTCAAAGAGATTGTAAAGTTGTACCTTGGGAAATAATAAATGAAGAAAAATTGTGAGAAAAATTTTCCTTTTTGTAAAAATATGCCTAGACCCATTGTCAAGTGCATCATTTAAACCATTCTAATTATTGTAAAGATCTGTAACATTCCTATGCACACTCTTCAATGACGAATAAGTGTGGTAATTTGGTATTAAAATTTAAAAACTCAGAGTGATTAAGGAATTTACAGACATGACCCTCCCTAAATTAGATTCAGAAAATATACAGGTACTGATGCCCAGAAAAAAATTGCAATCCACGGATGGTTACAGATCCGTACTTAAATTGGTTATTCTTTCTTGGTATATTTTCTAGTATAACGTAAATTAATAAGCAAACTGACAAAGATAGCAGTTTTATTTACACCTTAAATTTTTAACTAAATTTTTAGCTTTGGGAAAAACTTCCCATGCAGGAGCGAAAATAAAGATAAGATGCAAGGGATATTTATTACAGTGATAATTGGTAGTCTTTGATAATAATATAAATGGAAAACATCAATATGACAAATTAAAATGTGTTCCTCTGGTTGAATGTTCGTTGTTTTTCAATAAATGGTGAGAGCAAAAAAATATCAAATATAAGAGGTGTTCATACATGAAGACTCTAAATCCATAACGGGCCCAGAGCCAAAAAATCGAAAATTTAATTCAACATGTCATTTCATTCTAGGCATCAACTCACCAAGGACAAAATGCAGCATAATGGGCTAAATGTCACTTAAAATGAAGTAATGCGCAGAATGTCTGAAAAATAGCGATAGTGGTATTTTTCAAACAGTTTTCAGAGATAAAAATGTGAATAGCTTGAGATCAACATTCTGGCACTTGTCTTGTTATCGATGATCAGTCTTTATGCATGCATGTTCTTGATTAATATTTTCAGTAAAAAAACAAGATAAGGCTGATAGGACTTGTAATCTTTTTTTTAACGCAGTGTTGATTAGGTACTAATTCTTTGAATTTTTGAAAACAATAACTTCATTCCAATGTTGACTATTGACGAATAAAAAAATAGATGACATGTAATAGCTGATACAGACTTGTTAATTGAAGTTTCCAGCAAATAAAGCAAATGAGTGACATTTCTAAAAGTTCACTTTTGGTCATTTTGAACTAAACTTATTTTGAAGTTGAATTCGCAAAAAAAAAAAAAAAAATAAAAATAATGATAGCTCCTCGATCAATGAAACTTTCTATGCGCACTGAAATTTGGTGTTAATTTTAAACTTCAAACTTATTTTTCTCAAAATCGCAAACAGTTTACTTGTCTTCTTCATTTACAGGAGGCTTTAGTTATGAAAAACATTCAACGCTGTAAGTCGTAAGTCTGAAAAGTGCATATTGAAGATGAAACTGCAAAAATGCGTATCTCATTCCCAATGTCTATGTTTCTATGCTATTCATTTATTTTTTCAGCAGAGAGAACCAACATCATGACTCAAAACGTTTGTAGAATATTCTTTGAGCTAGAAAAAAAATTGCGGAAATTTTCAAGGTATGACAATAAGCAGTAGTTTTCCATTTTAAAAAAATAAATTATGATACTAAGTCTGTGAAGTTGCAAACTTAGATACTCGTCTCTCTAGTTTCACACAGTCCTAGTGAGATAGATATGCAACCACATTTGGAAGCGAACTTTTGCCTTGCATCAGAGCAAAATTGATTGGATACTATAATGCAGGGTGTTTTTTTTTCGAGTGGTTTGAAACAACGAAGAAACAAAATTAACAATTTTAAGGACGTTTAATTTTACATACTTACAAGAAAATTATTTACATTAGCCAATGAAAAATGCTCACACTAAGATGAACTAAAGGTGAACTTGAAAAACTTACATAAAACATAGGGACACAAATAATCTAATTAAAAGAGAAAGACAGCTTTCGGTAACTGTCAAGGGTTAGAAAATATTGATGGACCGATCAATACATGAAATTTTTGGTGTAAAGATTTTCAAAAAATAAAATAAAATAAAATTAAGATGAAATACATTGAAAAAATAAATAAATAGGTAAAGAGAGTTAAATTAATCATGATGAAAATAAATCAAGAGTTCAGGATTATTCATCATAAAATTGAGAGATAAAATCTGCGGCCATATAATTGAATCTATGTTGATACGACAAGATAAGACATGGCTCCATCTTAACCATGCAATAAGTCATATTTTGATGGCTAATCGTGTTGCTATAAACTTTCCATAATCCGCCCGCTGAAGTTCTTCTCTCATACACAGTATATAACCTAAACTCATGTTTATCTATTCGCTGCTAGCTTATACCTCCTGACGTATAAGCTAGCAGCGAATGGGGGATAGACAGGCCTAGGCATGTGCAGAGCATTTTTTTGTGTACTGGATCTAGAAAATTCAGAGCTTATAGGGACTCTCTTCAAAGTTCTAAGGAGTAATCCTTCCTCTCCTTCCATCCCAATGAATGAGACCTGGGAGACCAAGGCAACTTTTTGTTTTTGCAGAATTTGTGGTCGATTTTGACACACTCGCTTCACTAGGGAAAGAAAGGGTCACTTTCTGCAAAATGAATGTACATCTATCAGAGGTCAATTAAAAATTCTGTTTAAAATTTGTCGATGTGCACAACCTGACCTACTCCAGCACATGCCTATGTTAACAAGAACTGAGATATGGAGCAGTTATAGGCTCTTGAATGGATGATGAAATACAATTTAGTCTTTGTTTTCCTCGGAGATATACTGCGGTATACCCAAGTACATCCAGAGAAAACTAAATGAATAATGATGAATGAGCCGAAATCCGAATTTACCGATTTTTAATTGCGAATGTTCACATAAAATCTTCAAGTAAAGGCACAAGAGTTGATGACATTACTGGCAATTCAGGAACAAGAATGGTTAAAATTTTGATGGAGGCAAAATACAAAAAGAATCTTTCGGTTAAGTGTCACCATTAAAACCATTGCCACTACTTAAAAAGTTAACTCTTCAAAATGTATCTAATTGTTTTTAAAAAAACGAAGATGGTTTGAGATGAACTAAGGAATATTCTAAAAGTTTAAATGGGAAGAAAGAATTCAATTTCATTTAGTTAAACAAATTTAAAATCACACTGCTCCAGAGATACCACTCCTTGTTTTTTTAAATTATATGAACTACGATTTAAGTTACTGTCACAACCGCAATGAGAAATTGATGCTGCGTTGGCATCAGTAAGAATGTCTACAATAAATAAAAAATTACAGAGCAGGAGCAACCAAAAGTATATGGATTTAGTGTCTCAATTTTAAGTACCAGGCATCATGCGCTTAGAAATAGAAAGGCCCCACTAAAAACAACGCCTACAAAACTGATGCAGACTGCAACTGCTGATTCCGACTGAATCATCAAAAATCTTTGTGGCTTCTTAAAAATTCAAAATTATGCCTAAAAATCAGGCTTGTAGATGGAATAGCTCCTAAAATTTCAAAGTGAAAATAAAATACTGTTTATGTTATCAATCACTTACAGCGCATTAAAAGGTGTAATAAATAGTGCCTGGGAGGGAAAATTTAACAAATAATAAGGTCAAACAAAATTCCTTAGCCTCACAGTCACTGTCTCAAAGAGGCAGAATGGAACAACAATGAAATTCAAACAAATGCAACAAAATCAAACGAGTAAAGTGGTTCTTTTAAAAGTTCTACTGAACATCAGTGTTCAATTGATGTTGAGCTGAAATAATATCTTTACTGAAAAACTGATGTATGAGTAGATGAGAAAGTTAATGCACAGAGAAAAAAGTGGGAGAAAAAGGAAATCAATGTTTTCACATGACCTCATCTGAAGAAACACAATGACTTAAAAAAAAAATGAGGGACTATCGTAAAAACTCTTATCACAGAAATAAGGATCCAGGATGTGAACATCTGAAGCCAATAGTTTACATTGCATCAAAATGAAATCGGTGGGCTTGCTGGAGTTTTTCTCGTTTATCTTCTTTACGCTCCTTCCAGTACAAAACAGCAATTATTGCAGAAATCAAGAGACATGTCCCAAGCAATGCAAAAACACTCTGCAATATAATTTTACTTGGAGTCACAAACAACTGCGTCCTCCATGAGTTAGGATTTGCTAAAGGATATGGAATGACTATAATTTGCGAATTTGGTATTAACTGATTCCAAGATCGCTGGCTACCCAAGAAATGAACAGTTAAACTATCGATAAAATTAGGAGAACGGCCGAGACCAAATATTGTATAGGGCAAATTCAGCGAGTAGTGGGCAGACTGAGGTAGTTGGGCAGAGCTTGCTATCTGAGGTTGTCCTTCTGGAGTTGTAGTTTTGTAACTAATTGTTGGGCCCGGTAGATTAGTACCATATGTACGATACTTCTTGCCAAGAGGACCAGTGGGTAAAGCTTCAAAGTTTTGCCTGACACCAGAGATAACCATTGCCTTCAAGAAATTGGCATCGTAATCAGGATTATTTCTAAAGGCAGTGACTTTGTTGTTGATTTGCGAGACAAATATAACATCTAATATGCCATCTTGGAAAAAATCATAGAAAACACCGAGAACAGTATTGTTATTAGAGGCACTGAGTGCAGACCAACGGACAGCAAATGTCCGTTGAAAGAGACCACAGGTTGTGCACTCAATATTTTCGAGCAGAAACGTTTGTTTAAAACTACTGTCATTTTCTGGAGAGAGAGTAGCCAGGAGGTCAGGAAACCCATCCATGTTGAAGTCACCAGCTCTTAGTGTTATAGCATTCAAGTAATGATCTTTGGAATGTTCATCATATGAAAAACTCCACTTTTGCTTGGCTTGGTTTACAAAGTTCACTGTTAGAGGTTCGCTGCTCATTTTCGTGCCATTAGCAGGTAAGAATATGTGAATCTCACTTGATCTACATCCCAATCCATCACTGTTCTTTGTGCAAATAGGCACTAACTGATGGAGTTCTCCTGTCGATTGAAAGTCAAGGAATAACGTCTGCCCTACGACTCGATTAGAATTAGCAACATTTTCCGAAGTATTTTTGATGAAGCTGCCGTTATAGCTGCGGTACCAAATTTCAAGGTGTTTTTGTGATGTGATGTACAAGTCAGCATCACTGTCGCTATTCAAGTCGATAAAAGCATTGGAATGAACTTTCCGGAATGGCTCCTCCGTAGAGTTTGAGAGAGGATAAGATGGAGGCGACTCATTCTTAGAGAAATTTGCAGGAAATACCCAAAACATTCTTTTCCCATCCTCATCCTCGCCAAAAAGGTCGATAACCATATCTTTGTTGTAGTCTACAGCAATTGGTTGACTTTTCATTTTAATTAAAGGATAAGCTTCATCAGCACAATCGATGGCTTTTAATGAACCTTTATGGACATATACATAAATGTGAGAGTCTCCACTATCTGCCGTATTTTCAGCTGTTACTAAAACGTCCATCATTACATCATGATCAAAATCACCAGGGACAACACTGGTGATTACATGGTTCTCGAATGAGCAAACCAGTTTCTTGTCTGGTCGTAATAGGGGCTCAGAGTCTGAGGCCAGTAGTATTTCTACTGAACTACCTTTTCCGTTCTCATATCTCCGGATTGTGAATAAATCTGTTAGTTCATCCGAGTTGAAATCTCCAAAGGCCGCAGGGAGACCCGGAATGTGATTCCCAAAAACAGCATTTGTGATGTCAGTGGCTTCTGCACTTGGAATGCAATGTAAGATTGAAATCAGGCAAACCAATGAGAACAACCTCCAGAAGCCCTGCCAACATACCCAAAAGTCTTCTGTTAAAACAATATTTGAGCACTTTTATCGTATGCTTAAAACTTTTCATCAAATTTTTTTGCTCTTCCTAAATTTACATTTCAGTAGACCTGTTAAATTTTTTTTTAGTTCGAGCAACAATGAACATCAAAACAAATGTCAATTCTGACTTCAATTTGACTAACTACAATTTTTCCGAGTTCTGGCATCTGCTTTAAAAATACTTCGAACTGATCTTAAATTTTTAGGCATTGCCTACGTTTATGAGTCCCCAACGATACAATGAGCAACTGGTCTGTTGAAGGAATGACCAAACAGACAAAAAATCTTGCATGTTTTCCCTTCCAACATTTTGCTGCATGTCTGATGCTGTGCCGGTCATGGACTGTCAAATTCAGCAAGAAGATTATTTTTTTAAAATTATGAAGTATGGAAACTTTTAAGAGACAAGTAAATTACTTTTCTCATGCTTCATTACGAAAGAAAATGGAATTTTGTCATTTTATTTTTGGTCATGTTACCCCTTCTGAGCCCTCTGGATTCTTAGACATTTACATAGCATGGACATGCTTCACTCAGGGCACCTATGTGCTTTATGACGTTTTCACTCCCTATCTTATGTATACATATGAAAGGGGTGGAGAAATGGTGCTGGGTCCTCATTTTTTGAACTCTAACGGAAACCAGTACGCAACTGAGGGGGGGGGGGGGAGAGACACTTCAGAGTTTTTTTTGTTTTTTTTTCTTCATATGATAGGGCTGTAGTTGATATTTCCCTGTTTCCCTATGTTGGCTCTTTTCACTACAAAATGTTTTGTTCTCTCCATCTAAAACTTGATTCATCTACGTAAATTTTGTCTATCGGTCCACTCCATCAAGAACTTTAATTAAATAATTCCATCCCTTGAATACATTTTCTTTCTCAAGGGGAAAACCTCTTTTTCAAGTTTTCCCTTTGCAGTTCTGTGTTCTTTCAGTAAAGTCATAAAAGACCAGAAACCAATGATCTGTTATGTCATAGAATGTACTACCTTAACTGATCATGATGAACACCATAGTGCAAACAGAAACACTTTTGGCTGATCATGAGGACAGCAGGCTGTCAGCAACTTTGACAACCACTAGACAAAGTGCAAATTAAGGCATTCTGATACACATTTCCTAATTGAAATATTACATGAAGCACAATTCTGTCAACGAAAATGGTTGTAATTAATTTCTAACCAAGATATTCAACATTTTTTTTGTGCTTGAATTTAAACCTCCCGCTCATGAAAATCAAAACTCTATGTCAAATCGCACACTTAATTTTGCTGTAACAGCCTCTGCAGCATGAAGATATGACAACTACAATCTTAGCACTTTGGCTCAGTTGTTGCAGTTTATTCAACACTTGGGATGGAGGGAAAACTGCTTGATTAAGGAGCCCACCATCACCGTTATAGTATGCAATTTGGCTCAAGAAGTGTATTGTTGTCATTGTAAAATAAGTCATGAAACTCATTCTTCTGGAAACTGAAATTTTGTTGCCAGAGATCTACAAATACAGCAAATTCCTATAAATTTATTGTCATGCTCTCATTGTAAATTGTATTAACCCATTGACTTAACATGACGGCTCCCAGCCGTCATCGCAGCGCTGGGCCAGCTCTGAAATGACGGCTCAGAGCCGTCCGCTGATTGTTTGCGTAATTTCGGCAATTCTCCGGTAGATTGCGTTCTCATCAATATTTATATGAGTAGTGCGGCCACCCTATGACTTATTGTGTACGGTAATTTCTTGTTTTGTCACGGTATTTTCATATTACTGTGCGTTTGCACATGAAATAACCTCAAAATTTTCTTATTTTCGCTGATTTTGCGATTTAGACAGCTATAAACCACATAAAAAAATCAATGTGTTCAAAGTTTTCACCATTTTTCTCAAACGTTGTATTGTGAATGTTTATTTTGTCAATTTTCACCCTTTGAGAAATAATTTCTGGATTATTTTGAAGTGTTCAAAGTTGCTGATTTTCGCCAAATTAAATCGTAATTCCTGGCCCGGCAGGGTCAAATTAAATCATAAATCAATGGGTTAACCTGGAGTCCAAACCAGTTATAAAATTCTGAATAAGTACCGCTTATGCTAGTTTTACTTGCTCAGAGTAAGTAAAATTAGTATCTTCTGTAGATAAAGGTTTAGCCCCAGCAAGACTACTCTAAACTAATAACAAGTTTGGACCCGACATATTCATTGTTATTAAAGAAAAAATAATCACTCACAACTATTAGGATTCCATTCTTAGTTAAAATGGCTAGACTATTGTCTTCGGACCATGAACAACAGTGCTTGCTGCTTATCTGACTCGTTAAAGCATGGTATTGTATTTCTTTCAGCTTCATTTTGCTTCTGAGTTGTCTGAAACATTAAAAATAATAATGATGTTGAGAGTAAGTTTAAGACTTAACGTGAATTTTGAAATATTTTAGGTTGCGAGAGGTCACAAAAGGGACAGTCAATACCCATTTGACACAATACCAGCTCCTGGTTGACTAAGTATGCGAGCAAGTCAAAGCAACGCGCTTAAAAGAATGCCAAGGGTGGGAGAGAGGAAAGCAGAAAAGAGTGGAGCGGATGGATTAAGGAGAGAAGGGTTCCCCATGAGAAGAGAGGAAATTCAGGCCTTGAGACAGCAAAACCGCCAAAGGCAATATGTAGCCTGGTATATTGTAGAGAAAAAGATTGACACATAGTGTAGTGGTTACATCCGGTCCAACGAGCAAATTTCAATTGAGATTTTCAGCTCTTCAGCAATTGAGAGATGCAGGTGAAAATCCTTCATAAGGATGTTGCAGAACAATGGTACAATTTGGACTCATTCGAGAGGCATATAGTGTTTTTGGACTCCCTCATAAAAATTACACATACCTATTTAAATGATAGAACCTGATTTGAGTGCAAGTTGAAGTAAATTTCCAAACATCTTTTTTCCATATAACTGAACCAAAAGATTTACTCTCAGCTGGAGTTCATATGAATGCGCAATTTTTTTATCAGAATTCCACCAGCATCGGAGAGTTAGAACTGGGGAAAGAAAAGAAGAGACATACATCAAATCAACCTGAATGCATCAATCATCAGATGACTCATTAGTTACCACATAAATTTGTGTTGAATGGAGCTGTTTTCTGATGTGACATTAGTCTCTTCTTTTCTTTCCCCAGTTCTATTGATATGAATTAGGAGTTTTTATGAACTTTTTCTGCTATTCCTTGAGCATGCGAGAAAAGAAGTACCCATTGAGGCTTGTTTTAATGAAAGCCTAAGCAAAGCAAGTGCATTGATCCTGAAAAATATATGACCAGGAGCTGTTCACATAAATTAGACAACATCATGCCATCTAAGCATCTCCAAGACGGTGGCCGCTGAATATCACTTTAGAAAAATTACAAGTAAAGTAAGCCTGCTTATCTGTAAATTGGGGTCTTTAGTAGAAGCGCCCCACCACGGCAATATTGTCGATCAACTTTCGAGACACCCGGTGGACGCTTCAGGTGGACGGCTGGTTGAGTGCGGTTGCAAAACGGGTAAACAAACTGCAGCCGGAAAATGATGGGTGGGGAGGGAGGAAGAATGTGTGAGGTCGGTGGTGTGATGTTCGGTCAAAGTTCAGAGCGGCGGAGTCTATTCAGTAACTGCCCGTCACACTTGCGTTAGTTCTGATTTCATTGTGCGTGCGTCATGTTTCGTTTGTGTCAAGAGGTGAATTCCGAGGAGGAGGCTGTTCGTTAGTTACAAAAGCGGAATCTATTGCATAATTCTCGGTTTTGTGAAAATGGTCATTCGATGAGTTTGTCATTTTTTTTCCCATTGCAATGACTAGGTGAGTTTCATTTTTTCTTTTCCGTTTTCTTATTGTTGTTTATTTTCATTTTGTATTTTTCGTGTTTTTCTTGTTAGGGTAGGTTAGGTTAGGTTAGGTTAGGTTAGGTTAGGTTTGGTTACTTTATTTTGGTTCGTTGGCTTGATTGTTGATTTTAGGGGTTTTGGCAGCACGGCAATAGGGTACGTAAATCGCGCGAGGGAGTGTGGAGGGGAGGGGGTCGGACCGGAGCGTCCACTGGGTGTCTCGGAAGTTGATTGACAATTTTGCCATGGTGGGGCTCTTCTACTAAAGCCCCGTAAATTGGGTGTATGCGTTAATGATGGGCGCAGAAAGTCAGGAATAATGCATCGTCAAAGAATTTTATGATGCTTGATAGTCGCCATATTGCAACGATAGACGAGTTCAAGAGTTTCAACAGCCGTTTCCGTAAAGTGCCGCAGCAATTCACTTCGACTGCCATTTTCTGATTCAGAGACTAGTATCGGTTTTAGTATGATTTGAAGCAACCACATAGGTAAAGCACTATAGACGCTATTTGTGGCAATATCATCATAGGGATTCACCATGATATCAAAATGGATCCAAACAATAACATAGGCATAACCTCATTCAATGCTACCAATGCGAAAAAATCGATAAATATCGCTATTCTGTGACGTGGCACTAATAGCGTCTATAGTACTATACCTAGGCAGCTACGTTTTGATGAATAGCTCGGGATAGCGGTTGTCAGAAATATGAATTTTGCCGCTGTAGTTGATTTTAATTATTTGAGCATCCTGCTGTATGGTGACTGGTACTCCTGAGCTGGGTCCCAGAAATTCCGTCCATTTAGAAGATTTATGATTTCCGCAACCTTGGAGGCATTCCAAAAATGTGATTTGTTCCTGATCTCGGACTTCACAATTTATGATGAACATAAGAGTTGATGAAGTGCAAACTGCAGAGTAATGGCGAGAAACGAGCCTCAGAAAAAAAAAAGCTGCTTACCCAAAATGAAACAGGATCACTGTAAAGTCACTGCAGTATGACCGATGATGCGTTGGATGAGTAATCTACATTGGATGAAGTCTACATGAATAGAACATCAAAGCAGTCAGTACAGGAGACATTCCTGTTTGGAAAACTTGATGTGACTTTCAACTACTGATATTACGAGAGAAGATACTTTTTGAATACCTAGTATAGACGTAGACTAGACATACATGCTGTGCAACAACCAGGCAACAAAACTTCACTTTTTTTTACATAAAATAATCGTGAGGAGGAGGAGGGATTTTCTTGGGGAGATACGGAGAAAGATAGGAATTGGGGAGACACGACACTTTTAACTGGATGTCAACATCAACAGATTATATTACTACATTAGTGGTGATAAACGGCGTGAGCTCTATAATCTTTGAAATTCCTGGCGCCCATGCTGGCGCTTCTTTTGTTTTGTTTTGCTTCTTTCATCTTTCTTCCGCTTCTCGAGCGACTCTCTGCTCCGTTTTGTTGATATCTCCAGGAGGTTTCGTGTTCTCTTTAATTTCTACTTACTCTTCGGGCTTCCTTTGCTTGCCTCTCGAGCTACAGCACCATTTCCCTGTTTTTAATGATCTGTTGATCACGAATTTCCAACCCCTCATCAACCATGGCAGGAACACCCTTCAAATTTTTGAGACTTTTCACCAACTTGAGCCTCACCAAGAATGTTGCTATTACCAGGTACGTTTAGTCCCATCCTTTTCTCAGTAACTTTTTCACCAGTTAATTCTTTGAAGGTAGATTTTAAAGCATAAACTTTGCGAGGGTAGCGAGTTCTGTAAATACTCATTACGTAGTCATAGATGAAACGGAGAAGGTGATCGCAAGTTCAGGATTTGCACCCATCTTTTAGAGGTGCGTTGTCGAGCAATATAAGATCTTTGGGAGCATTTGGTGACAGTATAACCCGATGCTAAATGCTCGGTGCTGGGAGACATTCTTTGAATCCCCTGCAGCCTGATTATTGAAATTATGTCGGCCCGACACAACAAGATAGCTCTATCTCAACCATGCAATATATCGCAATTTGATGTCTTACTAGGCTGCTTGAAACTTTCAATAATCGGCCCGCTGATGACTTTTGTGTTTTTTTAAGAACGCTCCATGTTCTCGAGAGGTCTGTAGGACCATTGAGTTGCATTTAGTCAGCAAAAGAACCAGACAGTGTGAGATAGGTTTACCGTGACATAAAAACCTATCATCAGGCATTCATGAAAAGCCAAGTGGAGCTGGCTTCCTTTTTTCATTGCTACTCATTTGCTTACCTCCTCTACTGCTTCTCTTACCTCTCAATGAATATTTCAAGTCCTGTGGCAAGTTATTGTGATTAAAAATCAAATTTTTATCCTGCCAGATTCACCCATAGGCTTTTGTTGTTATATTTGGAAGGGTGTACAATTTTTTAGACTTTCCTCCAAAATATCAGTAAGTACCCGCATCTCAACCATGTATTTTCTGAGTCATTAATCTTTTACGTAGTATTTCCAAAGACCAGTTTTCTTTGGCGAGTCCAAACATTTACAACTAGACACCTCATAACTGTTACAAATAATTTTTTTTCTTCTTCTTGAAAAGTGACTTGAAACATTGTTCTCCTGCTCAACATCCTCCTTTTGGTCTGGAGGGAAGGGATCCTTGTTTAAACCCTCCCTCCCACTGCCACATACCCTCTGTTTGGGCATCAATCTTAGTTCAGCGAAAGGTGCTCGAAGTGTAAATAAAGCCCTGATTTTCATTAGTTACAAACTCTTATTAGTTACCCTCTTACCCTGATTTCATCTTTACCTCATTTTGAAATTTTTTCTCCTATTTTCAGAAACCCTCCAGTAGTTCCAGCAATCCAACAACTTGTTGGGTGTTTGGATTTTAAACCATTAGCGACAATCTCAATTCCAGGAAAACCCAAGAAACCAAAGACTGCCTTCATTGAATTCTACGTTTCTAGGCTGCCATTGCTCACAAAACAAAATCCTGGAAAGTCTGCGAAGGGTGGGTAGTGAATTTTGTTCTAGATAGTATCTTATCTTTCACTTAATTCCTCATGCAGTTGGGGATTTTATTACACAATAGGGAACTCAGATAAGAGATGATATAATACTTAACATTACTGATAGTGAGGGAGCTATACATGTGATGAGAGGAGAAATGAGTGGATAGCAGGATAAAGTGATGCCTGTTTGTTTGACCCATCTAATTATTCAACGTACAGTGTTTGATGGTTAAAAAAATTTTTCACCCCTCAAAATTTTCACAAAAATGTTCACCAAAATTTTCTACTCCTTAGATATGAATGCACCATTTTAAGGTTGAAGCTCCTATGGTCCATAGACGCCATGTAGACTGCGCATTAGGATCTTTTGGAAAGATGATAGGTAGGCAGCCTGGATTGCAAGTAGTAACGGAAAATTTGAAGAATCAGAGGCACCGTTGGGCAAAACAGACGCACAGCTGCACTCTTACGATGAGTTGCACTTACTGCTACATGTATATCAGGCTATATCAACTTATGTGAAGGCGCGTCTTTACCCCCTTAGCTATCTTGCCTCTACTGCCTAAAAGCAGGCCTAGTACGCTCTACATTGTGTTATAAGTCTATTCTTTGGTCAAGGGAGATAAAACGGACTTATAAATCAGACCTGGCTAATGTGCTGACTTATGGGTGATCACATAAGTTATTAGGAAAGAGAATAGACTGATCCTAACTTCAGAAAAGTAATAATGTTTAGAGATTTTCTTGGTTTCATTTCACAGATCATATCTTAAGCTATAGATTAAGTAAAAAATTATTTAAGCCTTCCTCTCTGTTGATGAGCTGCTGGAGGGTCTAAATAGTGTCTCCTCAGGGTCTAAATAACTGTCTGCTAGCCTCCTATCTTTTACTGTCTGTTATTATCTAAAGTTCTTCCCACAGTGTTTTCACCTTTTCAATTTTCTGTTTTTTTTTCCTGTACTGACTTCAAGCACCATAGCCCCCCAAGGCTCAACACTTTTCCAATATTTTAAAAAATGGATGATCTTGGTTTGCACCTAAGGCTTAGGTTGCTAAAACTAAAATCATCTCTAAAGCATTATTATCAAGCAAGTTTTAAACTTGTTATCTCTTATAGCAATGACCTTTAAAAAGCAAGTTTTAAAAACTCTTAAGAAAATCGCCGAAATGTTCGTTTTAGGAAACCCTTTTTGACTATTTCTTAAAGTAAAATTTAACCCTTTGTGAAATGTACGAGAAAAAGTCTTTGGAAAAGTGACCCTTTTTTTAGAACTTTTTTTTTTTTTCCAAACATTTTTAGTGTTGAAAAACCACACTTTGCAGTGTAAAAGTTTTCTTCACACTGTTTCACTTTAATTTCACTTGAATTTTACTTTAAAAAATGCCTTTAAAGAGTTCCTTTAACAAACATTTTGATGTTTTTTTTAAGATTTTTCTTTTTAAATTGACATATTCTTTTAAAGTTCATTTCCACAGTCATTACTACTAGTTAGGGATGTTTTAAATGTGTAAATTTTTAAATAATAATGAGGAGCAAGTCTAAAAACGGCATCATTAAATTATTTCTTCTGGAACAAACTGTGTATCCTACATGACAATGGTATTACTTAGTGATGGAATGAGGTTAAAATATATTTCCAAATTTTTTCAGACCTTGTAAAATTAGCAAGTATACAGTGGAAAGTGTGCGATCCTGCAGAGAAATCCAAATTAGTGGAGGAAGCCAAAAAGCAGTATGCAGAATACTTGGTTGCCAAAGAGTCTTTTGAAACTTCAATTTCTCCAGAAATGAAAGAGAAGATGATCTCCTTTAAAGAAAAACGAAAAGAGCGCAGAAGGAAGTTGGTGAGTCTGCACTAATGGATCAGTATTCTTTAATTCCCCCCTATCTGTTAATTTTTATGAAAAGAGTCTCCATAAAAAGGTAGCAGCCTAGCCAGTGAATAGGCTGCTTTTAACCTTTTTTACCTTTTTAATGTCCCAGCAATCCTTTTTTATTCTATACAGAATCAATGAATTTTTGAGGAAAATTAATTGAAAATGCCGTACGTTTCAACCTAAAATTAACTCTAGCAAGTCCAGAATGGATCAATAGACAAGGTACAAATTGAAGCATTTGGATGTATGTTTTCTCTTCCAGATTTCAAGCAGAATTCAATTCGCGTCATGAAAATTACCAACATTAACTCCTTATCAAGATATTTGACGTTTTTTGTCGCGTAAATTCAAACCATCCGCTCATGGAAAAACAACAGTCTACATAAGTCTAATTACACTTTAAAATGGTTTTGGGAGGCTTCTTGGTTAAGCAGTGATATTTCTTTGTCTCGTGTTGTTTTAAATGTACAAGACTCAATATGAAGCGCAGAGATTGAGGTTGCCATATTTTCACACCGCAGAGACTGTTACTGTAATGTTTAGTGTGCAAATAAACACAATTAAATATCAGTTTTTTTTATAAGATGGAGTTTTTATTTATTGGATTGCTTTACCATCTTGGTTAGAAGTTTTTTTCAATAATAGTGTACAAATATTGTTCTACATGAAATTTTGATGATGAAACATACATCATAATGCTTAGATTGGCACCCTGTCTAGTGGTACATCAGCCCATCCTGGTCAAAAATTCGATTCCCCCATAGAGGAGGGTGTGGGTTGTATTTCAAATCAGCTCTACATCAGCATTCAAATTTCTAAGTTTTTTTACGATGAAAGACTGTTTCATTTCTAAAATGTTTTCACAATCTTACTTCTTTTTTCTGTTATTTTTTTTTTTTCAGGCTGCCAAAAAATTAGGCAAACCTGTAAAACCATTGACAGTGTGGTCTTCGTTTGTGGCCTCTAAAGGGGGTGATAGACGAGATAAATCCTTTGCAGTAAGTATCTTTACTGCATTTAAGCGCTTAAAACCCTCTTTTCATATTCTCCCCAAGTTTGTTCTGCAGGGTATTGTATTTACTTTCTAATTTTCTGTTTCTCATTGCAGTTCATATTAGAACTCATAATTTTGCTCTGCTTAGAGACGATCACTTACATTTGCATTTTCCTACTTTTAGCAAGTTTGCCCCTTAGCTTTCGATATTTAGTTTTCCAGGATTTTCTGTTTGTTTTGGTTAATCTCATCAACACTGCGGTTGCAGAGATAAAAGCTGCATAACAGTCAGGGGGCTAACCTAAGCAGAGGGGGTCGTATTGGTAATACTTAAAACTTATTTGACCCAACTTTGATTTTTTATTAAACGTATTTGCCAATCTGTAGATCGATGGGCCAAGGACTATAACATTCCTGGCCTTTTGTGAAAATACCTTAACATTTAAAATTGAAAATTTTAAAACTATGTAGTGAACAATCCACTAACTATGTTGTAACATACTGCACAATTTTTCTATCACTTTATCGGCTCTATGAACACTTTTTCTATACCAATTAAAATTTAGCGTGAAGGTAATTTCAAATTTTAATTGAAATTACCTTCACGCCAAATACTCATCTTTTTCATACTAGTTCAGTCACCTGAAGATGTGCGGCCTGCCCAAAATGGCCATTGTGCGTAAAGAATAATAAAAAAGTAAGTCATCTAAGTGTAATCGGTTTTTGAAAAAAATTTAATTTGCATAGGAAAAAGAATCCATAAACTGTACTTAGGACTCGAGGATTAGTGCGAACAATCTTACCATAAGCAATGCTGATTAAAAATTGGCACAAAGCATTTAAGTGGCCTATGAGTAGGATATAGCACCAACGGAAAGTTTATGTATCAAACATCGATGGTTAAGAAACACTACTGTCTAACTGACAATATGTTAGCGAAAAGGAGTCCGTAACTTTGCTGCGTTTTACATTATAAAATATACAAGCTGACATTCTTAGCAATTCTGCATTAGAGAGCTGTATTGTATAAAATAAAAGAAAGAATACAAACCTAGCATCTAAATTACAAAAATGGCAAAGTTTTTTCTTCATCTTGTTAAATGGCCATTTTTCTGTTAAGTCGTATTGTTCCTTAGCCATCAACATGTAAAAGTGAAAATGTATTTATGTCAAAAATAATGTTTTTTACTTTTATTTTTTCTTTTCAGGACTTTATTAAACAGGTATCAGAACAATGGTACCAGGTGGATCTAAAAACAAAGCAAAAGTTAAGTGAAGCATACCAACAAAAATTGGCCGTGTACAAGGTAGAATTGGACAAGTGGGAAGATGAGATGATACGCACTGGACATCCAGAGCTTATTAGACCTGGAAGACAAATCCGATCAAGAACTAAACTTGGAAAGTACATAAAGCAAAAATCTAGTAAAAAAGATACGTCTGATGAGTGATGTTCTCAGGAAGTAGGTATGTTGAATCGACAATATCACATTTAAACTCCATTAATATCTAGATTATAGGCAAACTGAATTTAAGTATTTACCACCAGTACAAATGGTATAGGGTACAAAATAAATTGTTCGTGTAAAGTGAAGCTTTATCAAAACAAAAATGGAGTGACTGGAGGCTGCATTGTGAAGGGTATATTTATGGCCAAAGTGCAAAACCAAGTATCCGTATGACAGTATTTCGAAATTTCTGCTCCTATTTAATTTTTTTCAGAAAAAACGAGGAATTTGTACAGAATATTCTGCTGACGGAGAAAAAAATCAGAGAAGTCTTCAAGAAATTATATTGACTAGTTTTCTGAAGTATAAGCTGCGTTGTCAAAGTAAACTGTTTGGGACCTTTGGGCAACGGAATTACCTGATTCCAAACGCTCGGCGTTGATCGACTCTGTTTGGATTGCCCGATGTCCTGGACTCTCTACCAAACGGAAGTCAACAAGTCATCGGTCTCAGGAGGTAGTTGAGAGTGTTGAGCTAACCTCTAAATGTAATTGTGCACTCAAAATACAACAGTTTTTAGTCAACAGAGACAACCGACAACGCGTTTCCCAATGGGTGAGTCAATGGTCACGTGAAATCCGCTAGCGTTTAGCACCCAACGCAAATTGAAAGTTTACTTCGACAACGCACCTATAAATGAAATACGACAGGAAGTCTGTAATGTCACAAAGAGGGATACGTCATTTTGCACTTAGGCCACGGATATAAGAATTGTGGTAAACATTGCCCCTAGAGGAATCAAGACGCATGAAATTGGATTTACCAATCACTTCTTAAAACTGGAAGAAATGAGGAGAGGGAACCTGACTCTCGATGATTCAAAATTTGAACAAATATGAAATTTGATTGAATCATTGATGACATGAACTAACAAAAATTTGAATTAAAAAGAATCATTTGAAAGAGTGTTGAATGAAGAAAGGAGTTAGCCCATGGATTTGAAGTATAATGATTTTATTTTTGTAAACTTTCTAATTACTCGAATATTACAATGAAATTTGGAAAAATGAAAGGAGTTTGTAATTAAATTTGTTTTTAAAAACTTAACAATCAACCAAGCCAGCTATTGAAGATGCTTATGGTTCCTCACAATGTCTATACCTATCAGGCCTCAGAAAAACGCAAAGCTAAAAAAATTACTCTCATCAAAAAAAAAAAAAAAAAAAAAATATTTTGAAATTTTTTTCAAAGAAGGAGGCTTATGTAAAATCAGGCTTGACATTTCCCCCTCCCCATAAAACCTCGCAAGGCAAGCTCAGACCCCCTCCTGTCTTTTGAGTAGCTTTCATAAGTTCCTGTATTAATGTTAACTGACAACAGCGTTCTGATGAAACATAAGTTCTCATAATAAACAGTGTTCAGTCTGGTAAATATTGGGCATCTCTTTATTTCTTGTTTTAGAATTTTTTTTTTTTGAAAAGGAGGATGAAAAAACCTAGGTCTTCTAGGGTGCACCTATTTCCGTTACCTCTACCGACCTTAAGACGCTACTGAAAACTAGAACCGAGGCATGCTTACAATTAGTGTGGTGCAATCTGCGAGCGACTACAAAAACGATTTTATATTATGCTCATGGTAGACTTTTTCCTTGAATATTGCACAACATATTGGAAATGGCCCCACTCACGACCCCCAATTTTTATTTTTCATTAGGATTAGAGACTTCAGAATGGTCGCGTGCAATGATTGCTCTGTTTCCATGTTCCAATGGAGGCACTGGATGTCAAAAAGGCACTTCTCGATTGCAGAGTTTCAGAATCTCTGTCGCTAATGAATCCCTTGGAGAAGAATTTAATGGGTGATTTTGCCAGAATTCTTTCCATAGAAAATTGTAGAATCATAAGGAATATTCAGTGATATTTTTAGTGAAATGGATACATTCACTTTCATTACAATGAATGAAATGGTACAGGAGACTCTGAAACACTGCAACCGAGAAGTGCCCTTTTCGCATCCAGTGCCTCAATTTATACTTACTAGGCAGGAGATTTTTAAGAAACAAAGAACCCTGCACCATCCTAATGGGAAATCCCCCCCCCCCCAAGTAAAACCTGATGAAACTTTGATATGTTGCTCAGCTAGTCATTCTGATCAAAGGCTCTCATGGGCCAAAAGAAATCCCACATGCAGTTTTCGAGACATTCGCCGTTTTATGTGCGTAAATCGAGGTTTTGCCGGCCGGACCATTGTGCGGCGCTGTTCGTGCCCTTCTTTTCCAGTCCACTCCGGCCGCTCTCCGCTTCCTTGCCATCCCATACTGTAGGCTCGGACTCCGAAGTTCACGAGGCTTTATAAGACCACCCAGGATGGTGCGGGGTTCTTTCATGTCAAAGGCAGAAACTGAGCTCCTATTTATTTTTTGTCTAAAAAAAATAAAAAAATAATATTCTCTGGAAAATGTTATTAGTTATCTAAACATTGATTTTAACCTCCAATCAATTTTCATTTTAAAGCAGTCCATGTTTTGTTGTGTGTTGCAGGTTCAGTGAAGGCATGTTTGTTTGAGAAAAATTGTTTATTTTTCTATCATGTAGATATTACTACCATTAATACCTCTCAGAATTCTCCTTAAGTTGAAGTAAATAACCTCATGTGACTGTCGGTCCAGGATGCCGCTCATAAATTCGTACGTAAGTGTACCTGAATTGATTTCCTTTAACTTCCACTCAAGACCAAAGACTTCAACCTACTATCAGTTGGCTTTTGTTTGCTGTGAATTCTTGGTGGAATTAAAGTGGTCAACCTTTTATTGAAGTCATGAATAAACTTAAATTTTAGTCATTGTTTCTGATCTCCTCTTCATTGATACTCACTCTCTACATCTTGGGGCTCAATCATCATTTGTTGAAAATTCATTTGGACAGACTTCCATCTTCTTTTGTCACATCTAATCATTCACATTCAGTAAAATTTGGTGAGAAGTAACTATTCTACTTTGCTAGCATCCTTGAAGGAAACAGGAGAAGATTATTTTTAATGAGAGCAGTGCAGATCAAAAACACGTTTCCTACTTCCAAGAAACTAAAATTGAGTCATTTTGGTTAGTTAAAATAGGTCAAATAACTTCCTAGTCCAGAGTAAATTTATTTCATCCTTCCTCTTGGAAAAGAGCATTCCTTTCACTTTCTCTTCATTTTTAGAGGTGGATAAATTGATACTTTCAATTTTGAAACCAAGTAGTCTCATTCATTAGTTAAACCTAACAGTCCTCTTTTGAGATTGATTTCAGAATGGCCATTGAGTACTTTTAAGTTTGTAACTGCCTACTATGTGTGCCCCACAGTTCAGTTACGTTCAGTATATTGCATCTACTGATTTTCAGCTTAATCCTCTCGAATTCCCCTATGAATAACGAAATTTCAAAAATCAATAAACAGGTCATCCAACTTAATTCTAAAATCATTGCTTCATATCGGTTCCAAAGAGCCTGAAATTTAGATATTGTTCCCAAAAGATTTTTGAATAATGATCTCAGAAATTACACGTTTGCTCATGTAAGTGGTCATCAGTAATTGCTTTGGTGATGTCTTTCATCGTTAATATCTCAAGCAGCAAAAGTGCCATGAAGTCACTGAGAATGGACTTGATCCACTTGAACGGATCACTCTAAAACATCCTACATACATGATTCCTTTAAGGTCTTGTTTTGATAGTGTCACAGTGGAAGGTCCAATCATCGCCTCTCTAGCATGGACTAGAAAGACGAGTTTGAAGATGGAACAGGAGTATTTAATGGATTAATATTTGTGCTAAATCCCAGAGGAACAAATAAGTTAGTAATCCTAAAATACTATTAGGTGAGCAAACCTTTGTTAAGCACTGAGAGCATGCAGATTTTTTTTTAAAGAACATTGTAATCCTTCAGTAGTACTAGCTGTGAAATTTCCTTCAACTTCTTAAAAGTTCCAATGGTATAATTGAATCTGGAAAATCGCTTATGTCCATTTTTCCAGTCTTCAATTTTTTTGAGTTGATAATACTTTAAAGAGTTGATACAACCATAAAAGTGATGAAAGGACTCGTTTAGGGATGAAGGTTTCCTGGAGACAAGTATTAACGCTACTTTCGTGATTGCATCCCACTCCAAAAAGTATTATCAACTCAAAAAAAACTAAAGACGGGAAAAATGGACATTAGCGGTTTTCGCATGTCCTGATTCAATTGCGTTTTAGAGATGTGCCTCAGTGATTTCCCAACACTTACAGACCAAGAAAATTATTTTCTGATTTAGCATAAAATTTTGCCTCGAACACTAAGAATTGAACTTACTTAGAGGAACCACTAAAAAATAGGAAAAGTAATGGCATCAATTTTTGGTGAGCATTGAATTGCTTTGGCGCCCTGATCCTCTAGATGTTGCTTCCCATGACTATTTAATTCATCAAGAAGAGGAAGTTGTCACATACATTTTTACTTACTTGAAAAAAAGTTAAGAGCAACCCAGATTTTCAACCTTCATTTTTTTTTTTACCTCAGCTTCGGTCACACTAATGAAGACTACATGAAGATCTCGTTTGTACTCTAAAGTCTTCATCTCTTGCAGATTGTAAGCCTTTTTCTCGTCTTCCCTCGTAGTCATATTTCCAGGGTGTCTACCAGTCCCCGATTTTGGGAGGGTGTCCCCGATAACCCTGAAAGTCCCCAATTTTCTGGTTCAGGTTCCCAAAAAATGACATAAATCGTCCTAAATATCGGCATTTCCAAATTTTCCCGCCAGCCGCGGTGGCACGGTATAATGAGGAATAAAAGAACTGAAGTGTTGCTTGGTTTTTCGTACATTCTCATCAGTTCAACATGACTTGTAAAATTAGCGTATAAAATGCGCCTTTTAACGCTCTAACCAGCTCCCTCCCTCGCTCTTACTGTTTCGGGAAAAAAAGTCTCTGATTTTCTTGAAAAAAGTCCCCGAAAGTCCCCAATTTTGGTTTTTCATAACTGGTAGACACCCTGATTTCTGATCCCCTTTGAAGATAATGCTTTAATTTTTACCAATATTTAAGTTTTATTTTAATCACAGAGAGAGAGGAAGTCGGAGTGTTTTAAGGGGTTATTATTGCTGAGTAGAATTTCAAAAATCTTTTCAAGCTAAGGAAGACTGTATCGGATACATCAGAATGTAGTTTCCACTCATAAATTCATTTGAAGTAAATAGCCTCTCCTCTAATGACAATTATCCTTCCTCATCAGTCCTTCCTTACCATCATGAACTCAAGAGCAGTTACTGCCTTCTTCTTCTCTTGTAATACGTGTCGTATTTAATTTTGTATCAAGAGCTGTCTTGTTATTTGATCATTGAACTGAAAATTACTGACGATGCAGCTTTGATGTTTTCATTTTGAAGAAATCGTTATCTTATAAAATTATCTTTTATTCTATCACAAAAACTCCTCCCCTCTTCGCTCTTGCCTGTGAGGAATGGACTTGTTTTGTCAACTGTCTGAAATGGTTTTTTCATTATTTATGTAAAAATGTATAATAGCAATCTTGACTGCAATTCAGAGGATAACAAAATCCAGGTATTCAGCACTTTGCATTCAGCAGCAACTAGAATCAGCCAAACTGCATTTGATGTCGCCTGGCTTCCTCTCATGTTTCATTTTCAACACAGAACTAAACAACAGAACGCCTTGTGACTTTCTCACCTACGATTATGTAGAGTATGTGTACCTACAAAATTTCAAGTTAGAGTAGTTTTAACGTTTCTTGTAAAAAAAATAAAACGCAAGAAAAAATTAGGCAATATCTGAAGTAGTTAGGCTAGTTCCGGTTTAACCCGTCCGACTTTTCTCTAACTTTTTGCAAGTCTACACTAACATCTGTATCTCTCTCAATTTATTCAACAAGATTTCAAGTAGAAAAAATTATTAGTGAATAGTTGCGAGTAAATATTTTGTTGCATAGTTTAACCTCAGTTAATTTAATTTGTCAGGACAAAGTTCCTATGCTCTTAGGTTTATATTTGCAGTTTCAGGTTTTATAAAAGAAAGAAAAAACCAGGACAAGTGCCATGAATAAGTTGTAATCTCATTGTGAGTTAGAGGATGTTCTAATTGCAGTCATTTGAACCAGAGGAAAACAGAGAAAGTTAATTTTCCAAAAGTATAAGTCTTTAAAAAGTCTTTTCTCCCTCCCCCTCTCCTTAGTCCTCATATCTCCCTCTCTCATATCCCCTATTTTTCTCCTACCCCCTATTTCTCTTCAATCATATTCTTCTCCAAACAATCTCTGAATTTTTTGAGCAGCGTAAGTCTAGTTTTAAGTTTTCTGAAATCATCTTGGTCACTTTCTTTTTTTCGTTTCCTCTTCATTTAAGAGGTGCCTTTAATATATTATTCATACTTTTTTTACTTTGTTTAATTTTTCAGAATTGTTAAAATTCAGGACTGATAAAAAAAAGTTTACACAAATAATGGTTTTTTCATTTGCTTCAAAATATCTGCATCCTGTGGGTTAAGGAGACTTAAACGATATTCTCTCTCCGATAGCGGGCCAGTAAAGGATACAACTGTATTAGTATTGCAATTTCTTCAGCCTCAAATTTTATGTCGTTTTGATGCTTGGTTTTTTTTTTCTTTCAAAAATTTTCAAGACCAGTAAATTTTTTCCCCTCCTGTTCATGATGCCGTTTCCAAAAAATCAGCCTGGAAAAAGTAGGTTCAAGCATTTGTTGAAGTGACAGGTGACAGTGACTAGTGAAACTAGAAAGAAGAAGGAAAAAGTCACAGGCCACAGAAATTCTGTTCTGTTTTTCAGGTTTTCAGTAACGGGTAGTAACAAATTTTCTCATCAACCCGATTAGTAATGCTGCTCACATGCCAACGAACACCTAGTCGATCTCTTAAAATTTCTCTTTTCGTGGTCGTTTCTTTATAAAATTGCATCATGAAAGGCAAGATAAGGAAGTACGTACCTCGGCCTTACGACTCCAAAAGTTACAAAAATTAAGCCAGGAGAAATTGCATTACTAAAAGTGAGTCCTTATAGCCAGATTAGCTTTAGAGGGATGGCGGTAGCCTCTAAAATTTTGTTCCACCGTTTCAAATTTGAGGGTGTACTTCAGCTGAGATGCAGTAAAATACCTGTTTTACTTTATGAGTTTTTATGCCGAAGAAGATAATATATTTACCATTTGGACGTAGTTCTACCAAACAGACCTATGTGGAAGTGAGAAATATGGGGTGTGCTCGTTAGTTCTCTTGCGTAAGAGTTAATGAGAATAATAAAGCGCCAGTGACGTCAGCGGTGACGACGGGTATCCTCACGAAGGCGGGAACGTTCTTTAACTCATGAGCCCTGTCCACAAGGCTCTCTTGCCATGCCCGCGGCTCATGACTCCCGCGTTCAGTTGGCACATAGGTCTGTTTGATAGAATGCAATATCCCGCTTTTCCAATTCTTCAAAAGGAACCACGCCCACTTTTACATTGCTTCTTATGCAGATTTCTGGAGCATACCCCATATTTCTCACCGCCACATAGGTCTGTTTGGTAGAAATACGTCCATTTTAATGTATGGACTAGGGACATTTGTCTGTTACGTTTATTTTTCAAAATGGTGACAGGCTGTCATACCAATGTTGGATCTATGTAGTTCATACGTCTGTAGCAGGCAATTAGCAAGCAGCTTACATGTTGTTTCAATAAATTGCAACGATGCGTATTGGCATAATGAAGGGGCGAAGCTCCCTGGCTAGCATTTATCTATACTTTTTTCGCATTGGTAGAAGTGTGTCTGAACAGCCAGCCTGTTATCTTGGGATGACAAGTTGACAAACATTAAATGTACTACATTTTGCAATTTGGAACTATAAACTCTTGCTCTTCTGGAGAAACACTTATGTGTATAGGGAACCTGATGGCACATACGTTTTTTTTAAACCGGGCTAGAATTTATAGTTCCAAATTGCAAAATGTAGTCCAAATGTAACAATGTAGAAACGGTTAAGACAATTTTTTTTCCATAGAAAAAAAAGCAGAGTAAGTGTAAAAGTAATTTATATAATAGAAAAATATTTGAACTTTTCTGGAGAGAATATCAAGCAACAAATAATCATCATATAACAAATTAATTACAGCATGAAATTTCTACGCAAATCTTGACAGAAGTATCTTAATAAATAATTATAATACGAAATAATAATATTAAATAATGGGAATTACCGGTAACCGGAATACTGACAAGAATTTTCGAGAAAGAAAGGAAGCAAGGCCTCCACTACCGCAGTTAATGCTGATAAGAATAAAAGGAAAGTACTGTAACATTGGAAAAACCGTTCATCAAAAAATTTAGAATTGAACATCGGATTGCATGGTATTGCACAGTGACTATGTCCATTTTTTAAAACTCAACATTTTCCAGGAAGCTTCATTTTTACCAGTCAAAAAATTAATTCTGTCATTGCATTAGAGATCCAATTCTAGAGATGATGCTAAAGACGCAATCCACTGCCTTCATAAACTCACTGAGTCTTCATCTGATGAAAGGTTTGGCTCATGTTTTTCAACTTAATTACCTTGAGCAAGGGAATATTCTGCAAATATAATCTACTCAGAATATTCTTCAATCATTCCCTCTAATGCCCAGATAAGCTAAGAATCTTTTTAGAATATTTTTTAAAAACTGCAATCGCCACAAAAATGTTCTCGGAATATTATGATCTGACAATCTTTCAGATCAAGCTTAGAAGATTCCTAATAGAGCTGCTGATATTCCTAAAATTCTTTAGCGATCCTTACTCTTTTATCCAGATAATAGGACGAACGTATTAAATTCCTGCGATGTATCTCACAATTTATTTTATTGTGATTTCATCAACAAAAGGAAACAAAAATACCAAAAATTAAATTAAAAAGTTCCCTTGCTGGATCCCTAAGAGTCCACCCCCAAGTCCCCACTGAGGGGAGAAAAAGCTGATTAAAATCTGAGTAACTAGAGATCGACAGTTGTAGTGAGAGGGCTATGTCTCCCGCAGGACTTCAGCCAATCAGTGAACGCTGACTCTCTTGCTGCCTACATCATAACAGACCGCCAAAAGTATAGTTTCAAATGGATCAGATTTTGATTTCAAAATCGATTTTCTTCGTGAATTCAATTAAAAAAAAAAAATCTGAAAAAATTACTGGGAGCTCAACTTCCTCAGTACTTTAAGATAATGAATTAAACAAATTAGGGTCACCAAACATAAAGTATTTTTTTCTGCTTTTTTTAAAAAGAATAAATAAATAAGTTACTGAAGGTCTTGTTTTTCAGACTGCCTAACACTGATTGATCTTTTTCTATTAGCGCATATTTTGCTTTTGATATTAAAAGTCATCAAGAGAAAATCAAGGCCTCCGAAATAAAATGCAGCAAAACAAATGTGAAGAAATAGACACAAAAGTCTAAAAAAAAATCATATAAAATGTTCAGAACTCTGGACAGCCTTAACAGCAGCTTTGCGTTCACACCATACAAAATTAATATTTGTAGGTATAATGAAGATGAGGGTTCTTTGTACCTGAATATCAGTGATTGTTTCACAATACCCAGAGTTGCGAAAGGTGTGAATATGGACTGAAATCAAAGTAAAAAGAAGAAATACTTTTAATCTTACAGTAAGTGGAAGACATACAGAAAGAGGATGATACTGTTGAATTTGCAGATCTATCTATCTATGTCTTGGCTTTCATCCCATGATTCCCAGTAGTCGTAATATTCTCAAAAATGACGCAGACTATTGAAGAAAATCTGCTATCTTCAAGAATATAAAAAATGGGTGGGCTAGCTGGCGAGGCTGCGTTGCGTTATTGATGGGTTCAATTAGTCCTGAAACGCATCTAAACTTGCCTTCCTGATTGCTCGTAACTAGTGTTGCACCAAAGAGCATATTTCTCTTTGAGGGCAAATTGCTCCTAGATTAAATTTTTCCTTCTGAAATAAATGGAAGTTTTAGTTTCATACTGAATTTTAAAGCACATTGGCAAAATCACCAACACTGTCTAAGTGTATATCAATACCTAAAGTTGAAAAATGCGTGTTTCCTATCCAACATAACAAATCTCCACTCAATTTTGATTTTTTTTGCAAGATGAATAGAGTTTTTTGAATTAAGGTTTCATTTTATTGAAAAAAGAATCTTCAAATAGTTAGTCTAGAAATTTTCTGTGAATTTTCTTCACTCATTTAAAAAATTTCTAACAGATATTTTGGTTTCCTTTTTAGAGAGGAAATCATGCGCAGATATTTTGAAATGTTGCAGTGGAGGTATGCAATTTTTCACTTAAGCCATTAATATGTAATAAAGGCTCATTAAAAGATGCGTTTGTGCTAGACAATGGGCCTCATCAGAAATTACTCGGTGAGGGCGTTGCGAGTTTGACAATCGTTCTTGAACCTCCGGTGAGAGAACGCCTTTTACCCGTGACTGTCATGGCAGTTCAATGCACACCCCTACGCTGCCGTGCTAAGGAAGAACGCTGTATGAGCATTTGATAGTTACCAAATTTCCTTCGATAAAATGTTTATTTTTGAGGAAAATTATACATTTTTTCCTTTGAAAATTGCAGACACTTTAGATCAAATTACAAACAAAATTATCTGAGAAATTGGTAGAAAAATATTCAAAAATGTTCCTTTAAATTAGTGATTTGCCTGAGGAAATTTGGCAACGCCTGAAGGCTCATACGGTGTTTTTCCTTAGCATGGCAGTACGACTCAGCACCATTTGAGGCTGGTGAATGGAGCATTGAGCATTGAAGTGGTAAACAAAGTCACATGACAGGAGTTAGCCTCAGTTGAACAACTAGTAACTCTGCGGGTCATTCACCAAAATAATCTTCGTTGTCTAATACGAATGCATCTAAAATATTATATTGAATTATTAAACTTACTTTACTGGGAAGTTTATTTCCGCCTTGAGCCACAATTAAATACACCACCACTGCTAGAATTACAAAGTATTTCCTAAGGTAGTTGAAGCTGTCGCCAGTCTTCCCTTTTTGAAATTTATAGGGAGAAGGTTCAGAGGTTTCGTCTTTGAGCCGAAATACGTCTTCGTTAGCGGAGGCAGGCAAGGGAAAAGTTGATCTTGCCTCATTGTTCACAGAGTGAATTTTCTTTGTAGCTTCCGCCTTTTCCTCTGAAACTAAGAAATAATCTTTGATAGAGGAGCCAAGGTTCTCTGAATCCGAGGGGTATGATATCCTTGTGCCTTCAAAATAAAGCTATAAGATAGCTTGTTGATATTAATTATGAGTAGTTGAATTCCGAAACAAAAATTAGTTTGAGAATTCTCGACGACCCAACAAATTCTCAAATTTGACAGAGCATTAAACGCGCCGAGTGAGTATTGCAAATTAAAAGGTAAAATAATTTGCAATACGCACTTGGGATGTACCTCAGTAATTATTCTAAAATGTTGTTGGGTAAAATGTTTTGAACCAAAATATTATAAACTACAACATGATGTGATGCTTGAAAGTTCTCCAGGTATGTCCTAAAATTCAGAAATTATCGATTGATCGGTCAACAATCAAATCGTTTTCCGAAGTGGTTCAGAACCACCTTAAAACAAATAATCATTACCTGGTTCTGGGCTTCGTTTCAGAATTTTGTTCAGTCTAGATTCTGAGTTTTCGAGGATTTTACGGCGTCGAGCCTCCCGCATTTCTTCACTAGACATTTTCATTCTGGAGAATGACAGCGAATCTCTTAAAATTATTAACACTGTAATTATACTTGCGAGGAAAATAATAGTCAAGACTCCATTGATGACTTCGATGTAGAAGAGTTAAAACACGATGTAAAGTAGTACCTATATCCTACAACCACATTAAACAAAATAAAAATTGCGAAAAAACCGTAGTGGTTGCAATAATTTTTTACTGACGCTGTCAATTTCAGTGAATTTACAGTTTTACAGCATGTAAACAATTTGACATAACCTATCTGATAAGAAATCCAACGGTGAGAGGTGGTGAGAGGGGTGGGTTGGGAGGTGGTGAGCGCTGACATTTCGTTATCAGTTGTGTTTGTTTTCATTATCTCAGCGAGCTTTGGATTAAAGATAGAAGTGAGAGAAGAAAACAGTTCCTACAAAATTTTATGGTTTCATCAGTAATTAAAAGAATCTTTATTATGTGTCCTGCCTGATAATTTACCCTCATTCCTCTTTTCGGTCGCTTTTATCACCAACATGGCAGCTGCGATCAAAGCCCCCGCTTCAGACTCAAGTGATGACAGATTCAATTCGACTAAAAAACCTGTGCTAGTGTCGAAATTAGAGGGATGCGTGGATGATATTAATCAAGCTATCATTATTCCTGGGCAAGACGGAGTGATAAGTGTCAGCAATGACAGGTAAGTGCAGGAGTATTCAACCTTGTTTCACTCTTCATCATCACCATCGACCAACTGCTTAGCGGAGCTGACATGGTATGACACTGGTTAAAAACCATATGAATTCTGTACTTTGCAGTAAAGAAAATCCTTCTGTAACGATCTCCTAATTATCTAGGTTTTTTTATCATTGTTAAAATGCTCACCTCAGCTCAAAATGTTTGAAGCACTCAGCAAATCCACCCATGTTTTTGCGCTAGCTTATCTGAATGATACAGCAGCCTAGTGGCGTGCTCTCTGAGCGAAGTGCACCAGCCCTTCACCGGAAAAATTATTTTCACAAGCTCTATTTGAATTAACAAAAATGATTATTCACAGACGCACTTAAATGTATCTGATAATGCATCTGAGAAGAAATGATAGGTTAGATTATGTAATACCAGCAAATACTTTTTGTGCTACCACTAACCACTTGATTGCACTTACTTCTGTTTGTATTCTTCTATCACTCTGAGCTTTCATTGATTATTGTTCAAAAACATTCAAATACACTCTAATTATTTAATTCAATGTGGAATATTTAAATTTTGCATAAATTGCCCATTATTCTCATACAGGGTGAGCGAAAAGTCCCCGACCCCCCCTCTAACTTTTGAACGAATTGAGCTAAGGAAATGAAACTTTGGGAATGTTCCTATCTCAAAGGGGACCATCTTTTGAGGGGGTCAAAATTTTGGTCCCCCCCTCAGGAGGGGACAGGGGCCCCCCAACTTTTTTTTTTCAAATAGCAACCCCTATCTTGTGATACCTCATTCGAAAGAGCATAAAAAACTAAGAATTTTGGCGCAAACCGCAGATCAATATCTCAATTTTTGACCGAGTGATGATAGGTCAAAGGTCAAATTTGACCCATTTTCAAAAAATCATAACTCCGGTTCAAATTATCGTAAAGAAAAAAATAAAACGGGAAAATTTACCAAATTGTGTTCGCTTTTACGTAAAAATTGCAGAAATCACTTCGATTTAATTTTAAGGGGGGCTCGGTCCCCCAAATACGTCAATTCAAAGGTCATTCAATTTTCCTGCGAAATAAGCCAATTTCCTCTGGATTTGCCTCCACATTATCTCAGTAAGGTCAAACTCAGTTCAACATTACGTTGGCAAGTCCCCAAATTTCGGGAAAAGTTAAAAAAACGAAATTTAAACGGTCAAATTTAATCACCTTAAATTTCGTTTTTTTAACTTTTCCCGAAATTTGGGGACTTGCCAACGTAATGTTGAACTGATTTTGACCTTACTGAGATAATGTGGAGGCAAATCCAGAGGAAATTGGCTTATTTCGCAGGAAAATTGAATGACCTTTGAATTGACGTATTTGGGGGACCGAGCCCCCCTTAAAATTAAATCGAAGTGATTTCTACAATTTTTACGTAAAAGCGAACACAATTTGGTAAATTTTCCCGTTTTATTTTTTTCTTTACGATAATTTGAACCGGAGTTATGATTTTTTGAAAATGGGTCAAATTTGACCTTTGACCTATCATCACTCGGTCAAAAATTGAGATATTGATCTGCGGTTTGCGCCAAAATTCTTAGTTTTTTATGCTCTTTCGAATGAGGTATCACAAGATAGGGGTTGCTATTTGAAAAAAAAAAGTTGGGGGGCCCCTGTCCCCTCCTGAGGGGGGGACCAAAATTTTGACCCCCTCAAAAGATGGTCCCCTTTGAGATAGGAACATTCCCAAAGTTTCATTTCCTTAGCTCAATTCGTTCAAAAGTTAGAGGGGGGGTCGGGGACTTTTCGCTCACCCTGTATGACTTCAGACAAGTTGTATCTTGTACTTACAAGGGGAACTTACGGACCTGCCGCCTCCGATTGGGCTGAATTTTTTTTTACAGACTCTATGGACCAATTCTAGAGGTCAATATGAGCCGTTTTCCCGAATGCGCAATAGGAAGGGCGTAAAAAATTCCCAAAAGTTGCGTTTTCGGTGTGTGATTTGGTCGTGCGGCGCGTGGCAACACTGAAGCAGCCTCTAGTACCGCTTTATCGGCCTAAAGGTTTCAGCGGAGTCCGGAGCCCTACTGCACACGTACTGGTTCCATGATAGTGATGTCCCGGGTTCGATCCTCGACTTTTTATTTTCCGCATGATCTCGTAACATTTTATTTTTAATTCTTCATCCGCATTTATAAATCAAGCAGTTCCGATCACTATCCCCCCCTCCCTCATTTTACGTACATTTTCCCCCGATATTTATTCACATTGGCCACATATAATCGTATGAAACTTCATTGATATAAATTAATGAATTAAAAAGCAAAGGGCTAGAATAATGTGTTTCTTGGTGACCCTTGCATGCACATGGGTTTGGGGTTGCTCTTCGATTTATTTACACATTACATATTTTTCCAGGAAAACATTTGAAGATAATGTAGTAACAAATAAGGTTTTCTTTTGCTTTTTAATTCATTAATTTATATCAATGAAGTTTCATACGATTATATGTGGCCAATGTGAATAAATATCGGGGGAAAATGTACGTAAAATGAGGGGGGGGGATAGTGATCGGAACTGCTTGATTTATAAATGCGGATGAAGAATTAAAAATAAAATGTTACGTGATCATGCGGAAAATAAAAAGTCGAGGATCGAACCCGGGACGTCACTATCATGGAACCAGTACGTGTGCAGTAGGGCTCCGGACTCCGCTGAAACCTTCAGGCCGATAAAGCGGTTCTAGAGGCTGCTTCAGTGTTGCCACGCGCTGCACGACCAAATCACACGCCGAAAACGCAACTTTTGGGAATTTTTTACGCCCTTCCTATTGCGCATTCGGGAAAACGGCTCAAATTGACCTCTAGAATTGGTCCATAGAGTCTGTAAAAAAAAATTCAGCCCAATCGGAGGCGGCAGGTCCGTAAGTTCCCCTTGTTAGTTCTGCCTCTTTCAGCAAACGATCACCTATGACTTTCAGATGGCTATTGATGCAGATACATTTATCATGGTGTGATAGATTTACTTGAATATGAATTTATAGAATTTGATTCCATTAATTAGTTTTTATCAGCTTTAAGAGATCTCCTTACTTTAATGTACTAATTTGTGTGTTTTTTGTACATAGGACTGTTCGAGTGTGGCTTAAAAGAGATTCTGGACAATACTGGCCTAGCATCTGCCACACGATGGCATCACCAGCCACAGCTGTTCACTACACTCCTGAAACTCGACAGTTATTCATTGGCCAAGAAAATGGGACCGTCTCGGTGAGGACTTTTTCCTATCATTTATACAGCAATTCAATTTTAATGCTGGAGAGTATCAACGATTTACTACCAAAAATGCTTTTTCTCATGAAAAAGTAAACACAGATGGATATCTTGAAACATTAAATTGAAAAAAATGTATTATTCAAGGTTTGACATCAATGTGAAATTTTACGTATAATCAGTATATCGACGGTGTAAGTTGGCAATCACATAACTCGTTTGCGGTGTCTGAAAATCTCCGCCTCTATTATATTTTTTAACAGAGAAAAAATTGACATCATTCCTTGAAGTTAATGCAGAATATTCTTCCCACAGCGAAGAAAAATCACGGCAGTTTTAAAAAATTGCCATTTAGTAGTATTCCGTTTAAAAAATAAAGTATGACAGGAAGTCTGCGATGTCGCAAACCGAGTTATGTGATTGCCGACTTACACCGTCAATATTCTCTTTAATTAGTTGTCATGGTAGCTAATACGGTGTAAAAATGAACATGCTTCCCCCCTCCAAAATTAGTTTGAAAAAGGGTAATCACAGAGTAGGCAGTGAAGTCGAAAATATTTGTCTCTGATGTACCCAGACTGTCGGCTTCCTATGGTGTAGTGGTTGTAGCGCTTGCTCTATGATTAGGAGGTCCCGGGTTCGATTCCCGGCCAGGCGACCGGAGTTTGATGGTCTCAAACAATGGTTGCCTGGGACTGGTTCAGTAGGGACGGAGGGGGGATGGGACTTAAAGCGTGGGATTAGCCCTTAAGAGCTATTTGAAGTAGTAAAAAAAAAAAAAAAAAAAAAAAAAAAAAAAAAAAAGACTCTATGCTCACTTTTTTTACTTTTGGGAAGAAGTTTCATCATCTTCTAGCACTATTTCTGATGATGTAGAAACGTCATACACTGAACAATTAAATCATCTGACATATGTTTTAGCAATTAATTGATCGGTGTTTTTTAAACTAACTTTTTTGTTTTCCTCAGGAATATATTTTAGCAGATGACATGAATCGTATGAACCATGTGAAGGATGTGCTAGCCCACCAAGGCCGAGTAACTGGAATTCATTTCTCTCTCCATTGTGAGTGGGTCCTCTCCATTGGTCGGGACAAAGTATTTCAGTACCACTGTTCAGAGACCACCCGTCAGCGAGGAACATTTTTCAGCACCGCATGGTGCACTGCTCTTGCGTATCCTTTTTTCATTCATAATTGTTTTTATTTTGTATAACTATATTATGGGATATTGTTGGCTCCTAATATTTAGGGTGTCTTGTAAGTTTCCAAACTGATACAGTAATTTCAGAACTAACAAGGGGAGGCTACCGAATGTGGGAGGGTTTCCCAGTGTTTTAAGAAATTGTTTAAAGTGCAACTGGACGTATTTCTACCAAACAGAACTATGTGCAGGGGGAAAAATGGGGTGTGCTTGTTAGTGCCCGGGTCATAAGAATGAATGGGAAGTATAAAACGCCAGTGACGAAACCGCCGCCGCGCTTCTTCTGCGGCCGACTAACTCATGAGCTCTGTACACAACGTTCTAGATACATACCCACGGCTCATGGGTGCCGCCTTTAGTTGGCTCACAGTTCCATTTGCTGAATTGGCGAAGCGGGATTTCACATTCTGTCAAACGGAACTATGTCCACAGTGGATATGCTGTGGGTATGTATCTAGAGTGTTGTGAACAGGGCCCATGAGTTAGTCGGCCGCGGAAGGAGGGCAGCGGCGATTTCGTCCACATTCTTATGGCCCGGGTATTAACGAGCACACCCCATCTTTCCCCCTGCACATAGTTATGTTTGACAGAAATACGTTCAACTGTCTCCTCGTCTAAAAGGATTTAGTTAAACTCAAGTGCTCATCGAACATGCAAAGCTGCATACTCAGCATTTCTCCTTAATGAACTAACCATGCAGTTTTGACTCTCAGTCTAAACACGCATTTGTCGGTGATTACTCTGGACTCATCACCATGTTACTCTTGAAGAATGATGGGTCTCAAATAATAACGCAGCTGAAAGGTCACTCAGGAAGCATCAGAACGTTAGCCTGGGATTCGGCCAAGAAACTCCTGTTCTCAGGAAGCTTTGACCAGTCAGTTGTTGTTTGGGACATCGGAGGCGGTCAAGGAACTGCGTATGAACTCCAAGGACACAGGTATTGTTGCTCCTCTCACTTTCTGCTCTAATTAAACCCACAATATTCCAAAATTTGTAAGCTCCAACTTTTTAAACTAATGCAAATGGCTCACTCGACCTTAGAGATGAATTGAAGTATTCTAGACTTTTTTCACAGTTTTAAAGTCTAAGATAATAAGTCAATTGAATGGAGATGTTGCGTGTGTAAGGAATGTGTGATTTGACTATTGATTCTTATGTAAAAGTTTGCGAGAAACACGATTGTGCCACTGGTTTTCTCTGAAATCAACTCTCAAGCTCAAAAAAAGCTCTCAAAGTTGAGGCTGTAATGGAGGGGATATCCCACGCTATCCTGAGAGTCCACGTCTACATCAAGACAAACTCTCCATGCAAAGATCGGGGGCAAATACATTAGCAGGGTTGCCATGTTTTCAGTTTTAGAGTCCCCAAATAAAGTGGCAGCTCTGTCAATGTATTTGCTCCCTATCTTTGCATGGAGAGTTTGTCTTGATGTAGACGTGGACTCTCAGGATAGCCAAGGGATATCCCTTCCATTATGCCCTCAACTTTGAGAGCTTTTTTTGAGCTTGAGAGTTGATTTCAGAGAAAATCAGTGGGGCCATCGTGTTTCTTGGGAAATTTCACATAAGAATGAATAGTCAAATTGCAAATTCCTCACACATGCAACATTTCCATTGTTTTAAAAGGAATTGCAATGAACCATTAAGGCTGTATCTTATGTGCTCAATTTAATTTTCATGTAAATTTACTATTTTTAACATTAATTGTTTAGCTGTACCTCGTGTGTGTAATGAACTCATTATAAAAACTATTCTGGATTGAACTCTTTCAATACTGAAATCATGCAACCTCAAATTTTCGGAAGCTGAGGACTCTCTTTATTGTCATGACTTAAAAGGTTCCGTACATAATGTATTACCCGCTGTTTAAGGAAACCTTCAATTTGAAGAAGAGACAATGAGTATGGCCCAGACTCTTTCTTGTACGTTTCGTGAGCTAATTGTCTATAAGTTGTTGGAAGTTGTGAGGAAAATTTTATTTTCAGAAGTGGGTCTGAAAGTTAACAATATTATATTATTTTAGTTGTCTATGATTCAAAACTTTTTCCTCTCTTAATTACAGTAAAATGTGTGAACGGTTTTAAAAATTACCCATTTAACGTACATTAGTTTTACTCAACTTTTTTCATAATTTTTTTTATTCTTTTATTGATTGATTTATTTATTTACTTATTTTGTTCATTTTTTGTCTCTAATCTAGGAACAAAGTTAATGCTTTGTGTTATGCCTCAATGAAGAATATTGTGATATCTGGAGGAGAGGATATGGTTGTTGTGTTCTGGGATATGAATGTGCAACGAAAGGAGGTAAGCCAATTCCCTTTTGAATTTTTTAATTACTCTTTTATAAAACTTGATAATAGCTCAGCAGTGGCGTGGCATGAATTGCGATGTATTGTAGGATTGTATTATAGATTGTTATGCCATTAAACAGATGGTAAAGAATCGATTATTAAGGTGTTCGTTGTGAACACCCTGTTTATCCATCCTTCTCCATAGGTTTAAATGGCATAACAATCGATGTATCGCAATTCATGCCACGCTTCTATAGCTCAGCACTCTTTAAGATCCTGAAATGAAAGCAATGGTAATGTGACATAAATGGAATTTTCGATCTTTCTGTCAAAAATATTGCTCTTGTCTATTGCAGTTTCAATGTTCAAGTCAATTGACTCTTGGATTCTTTAAAATCATTATCAACATTTATAATGGGTTAGTTGCGCTGATCTTAGAATCGTGTTTTGATGCTTGATTCTTGTTGATCAGCTAAAAATATTAAGAACTGTCCTAACAGCAACTTTCTATGCTCAATATTAACTGAGATATCGCGCTTTGAAAAGTTTGGATTATGACGTCATCCACTGCGGTAGTGATACCCTTGGTTTTTTCCACCCTGCCTTCATCTGAGTTTCACTTAGAGTAACCAGTGAAAATGTGTTTCTCCTTGACAAATGAAAGCAAGGTGGAAGAAACCAAGGGTGTCACCACCGTAGCGGATAACGTCACTAAATGAATTTTTGAAAACGCTATTTCTCAGTTAATATTGAATAAAGAGAGTTGCTGTTTAGACAGCTGCTATTATTTTTAGCTGATTCACTAGTATCAAACATCAAAACACAAACTGACCCACTGTTACTGCCAATTGTAAGAGTTTGAAGAGCTATGAAAAGAAAATGCTGGAATTGAACTGAATCAAGTGTTGAAATGATCTTTTCAAACTTTTGATGACCAGAATAGCCGACATCAAGATTTATTAACCCCTGTTTATTTGTTTTTCAGACTCCTGAGTGGGTTGTCTCAGATACATGCCAGTTATGTTCAGTTCCATTCTTTTGGAATGTGCGTGCAATGATGGATCAGCGGCAATTAGGTTTACGTCAGCATCATTGCCGAGGTTGTGGGAAAGCTGTTTGTGATAAGTGTAGTCATTTTCGATCAACGATCCCAATCATGGGCTTTGAGTTTCCTGTGAGAGTGTGCCAATCTTGTCATTCATATCTACAAGATGTTGAGTGAGTATTTCCGTACTTGAAAAAAGTAGACTCTCATCCTCCAAAAGTCTCGCAGAAAGAGCAATCCCTCATTACTTGCCCTGCGAGTAATTGTCGTTCGCTTTGCAAACTTTATTCCTTTTTCTTGCGATCGGAGAAAATCTGAAAGAGATTTAGAATATTCTAGATACAAATCCTACTTTTTCTAGAGAGTTCCGGATAGGAAATAGGGAAGACCGTCAAATTCTCCCTTTTTTAAACCTCACTTGGAGACAATACGAGAGAGCCCTCTGAAGTTCCAAAAAAACTACTGTTCGCAGCCTTGTATTCCGTACTGATAATCTGGAAAAATTCAGGAAAGCAATAGGAAGGTCTCCTATTGCTTACATGTCAGTCGGAGAAAATTCGAAACAGTTGCAGTAACAATTAATGTCCATTGCCTTCTGACACTTCTAGAAAGCCAAATTAAATTCTAGAGTTTTGAAGGAGACGCAAGGAGGGCACATAATGGAGCATAATGCTACTGACAACACTCATTATACATTACAAAACTTATGCGTGTCAACAAGGGAAGGAAAAGTTTCCTGTGAATCACTTCAATTATCTAGCTATGATCAAAATTAAAGACAAGGCAGAAAAAAATTTTTAGGAGCACGTACATTGTTTTAAGAAGCTCTCCGGTCTTTATGAACTTTTGAAACAATTTTGTCTATGCACTGTTCTTTGAGAAAATTACCACTGAAAAGAGAACTTCTATGCAGTTTCTTATAAATCTTTAATCAAATTTGGTAATATGTAGTTGAAGAAAAATCACAAAGAGCGTATATATTCTCCAACATAATAATAGCATTCTTGCTTCCTCATTTTGTGTGAAACCATGCGAAGAAAGGGGAATCGGTAATATATAAACCACAAACCTATAAATTGATTCAGGTTAGTTTCAATAAAAAAGGTACCAATGAGGCTATTTCAATCTGATGTAAGATAAAAATTACTAGAAAGATTACAATATTGTTTGCAATGTTTGCAAGGAATCTTTTACATGTCACTCCAAAAAAAAAAAAAGAATTATTTTGTGTACTCAAAGTTTTATTTTACTGATCATCAGTTGACTTCTGTACTCATCGTTATTATATTATTTTTTTCTTTTAAATGTTCCAGCCGAAGCCCATTGGCAATATTTCATGATGCAAAACATAGTATAGTTTCAATGGACCTAGATGAACCCTGCAAGCGACTACTGACGGTTGGTCAAGATCGGCTGATAAAAATATGGGATCTATCAGCAATCCTATAGTCCAATACTCTCTTTATTCTAGATAACCAATGAGGGCAGGAATGTGAAAGATTCAACGCAGTCATACATTTGATGAAAATCGCTAAAATCTGGTTTTGTCAGGTGAGTCCACTGTTCAACACACTTATCTATTATCTCACATTCGTTCTTAACATTGAAAAATGGAAGGCATTTAGACATTACCAGTCCTTAAGTCATGATCTTGAGGTTTCGTACATATTAAATTTTCATGCCCTTGCTTAAAATTTTTGGAAGTATTTGTTGGAGGGTAAATAAAAAGATAAAGTCAAAATCATTTTTGTCAATTTGCACTGGTGAAAGCAAAGTTGTTGCCAACGGTTTTTTTTGTTGTTTCTTGTTTGTCATCCTGAAATTGAACTCATGTTAAGATAAAATTTGAACTGCATTGCGGATATTTCAAAAATCATTAATAAGTTACTAGAATGATCCAAAGACAAATTATTCTATTGCACTGTATTTACAATAACCAGCATGATGGTGACATCTGTTCTGTTTTCAATTCATTTCTTTGATACAAAGGGTATTCATAGAGTAAGTATGTATTTGTATTACCTTTGAAAGTGTTAAAAATAATTGAAACCAGTAACAAATGACTCATATTCTCAGCTTTTCCAAAAATCCTTGTTATTTAAATTTAGTTCACTGGTTAGGGAGAGACATCATTTTTCTATGCTCACCAGCTCTTGCTGTAGCATGTTCCAATATCCACACACTGCGGAGTGTGCTAGACAACCACATCTGCTCTTCTTAAGATTGTAACACAGTTAATTTATCCAACATTGAAAGGTCTCAGGTTTTGGATCGCCATATATTACTTTTTGAGGTAATCGTTGCTCTGTTGAATACCCATCTTACCATGATAGCAATGTGGGGATTCTACCTTAAAAAAAATCGCTTATCCTATCATTGCAACCATTTCTTCGCAGCCTCTGGCAATTCTGCATCAACGGGAGGTCATGGCCACCCAAGCTTCTTTGACCTCTTCTTCGACTGAGGAAAAAAAATTGAAAGTTGCTTGGAACAAGGTCCGGTGAGTATGGCAAATGAGAAAAAAAGACCCCATTTGATTGAGGTTAACAAGACTTAAGTCATGTGCACCTCATGAAACGCACAATGTTTTCTTGAAGGAAAATAACTTCACAAGACCAAAAATGTGGCCGTTTTCGCCTGATTGCTGACCTGTTTTTTCCAAATCTCATAATACCTGCAGCATCGATCATTTATCCTCTTTCCACTAAATTCATCAGCAATATTTCTGAACTATTCCCCATAAGGTGAAAAAATATGCTCGCCTGACGAGCTCTGCTTAGCTCACATAGGCACATATTTTGGATTCATGGCAGTGAGAGATGGGCGCAGAAAAATGATGTCATTTGCGAGACAAAATTTAAGAAACTAAAGCCCCTTGAAAAGCTGAGAGTATGTCGTATAATACATTTTTTATAGACTTCAACTATCTTTATTACTTTTGTAGAAAATACACATTCATACTTACAATCCAATCGGCCCTGGCAAGTGTTTAAGTCGGATTTCTAAAGAATTATTCTGGCGCTAGGCCTTCGCAAAAGTTTCTGTGTACGTAGGCAATAAAAACTCTGTAGCAGTAAAGAAAATCCTTTTTCCTAAACAAGTGAATAAAATATATTTGGCTCATCATCCATTCCTTTTTATAGAAAATTTCAATTACATTTAGACACAGAGTGAAATGAGTACATATCTCAAATGTTCCCAGTAAGAAGTTTTTATAATTCCAACTTCTTTTGTTTACAAGTTGATGTTTAGCGTTCCTGCCCAAACTTGTATTTTTAATTGTGTAAATTAAACAAATTTTTATTACTGCTCAGTTAAGAAATTAATTCATGTCAATATTATGTATATTGATTATCAATGAAATGAAACATGCAAAACATAATTTGACGCTTGTCTGATTTGTTTACTAAATTAAAATTTTCCTGCGCATTCTAATTCAAATTCCCCAGAAACTTACATCTTAAAAGAAGATAAGCTGCCCTTTTTAAAGACGGAAAAGATCCTACGTAACTATACAAATTGAAAATTTTAATGAGGTTCCATGAATACTGTTGAGTTACATATCTAAAATAAATGTTCTAAAGGAGGGAGAGTTCATTATTGTCTGCATTGTGTTGACAAACAGCAAAACAGGCCTATGAAAAAGCTTCAGCCTTTGTTCTAATTGTGTTAGAAACTCCAACCCCTCCTCTTTTTTTCCTTCTCTGCGTACACATAAGTATGTAGGTACCCCAATGCGCTGTTAACAACTATTCAATCATAACTCCTTACTAGTTTTAACCCTGTTCCATTGTTTTCAACCATTTAGATCAGTATCACTCCAATGTTTTATCATCGTTATTTTATCATTCTTAATGTAATTTTAATTCTGTTTGTAACCAAGTTGATCATTTGATTTAAATACCTCGCCTCCAAAATTGTCGTTATTAATTTTTAATTAGTTGTTATAGCTGTTGTCTTTTATCATTGCTGTCCATAATTTATTTGACAACTAGATGTCTCTGTCTTCAGTCATGTGCTCATTTATTTTTCTTCTTCTTTTACTTCTCTTTTTAGTCTATTTACAACACCAGAACTGCAAGAAACTTTGACAAATACTAAAGTCTTTGATGAACGTTTAGAATTGTTCCCTATCAGCTGATGTAGAATCTTTCCCGTTGGTATTCAATCTCTCAAACTTTGAACATTTTGTATCATCATAGACATTTTGCTCTTATTTTTTTCTAAGCCTGCTTTTTGTTACAAGCAAACTTATAGGAGATAACATTTTTACACCGTGTTAAATGAAGAGGCACGAAGTCAAGCGCGGAGGTTCAGAGACTTCCGTATTCTGCAACCGGTCCGGTAAAGGGAAATGGAGCAACCCTGTCACTCCGGAAATGGAAAATAGCAAAAACCCTGTGAGATTACTGAAATTTGCGTTTCACAGCGTTTTATTGGTTGAAAAGTCCAATTTTGGGGGTGAAAGTTCTTTTAATAGTCTTCAGACGGAAGCAATCATGAATTTAGATTAAAAATAGGGGAAAGCTTGGAACTTTCTGCACACTTAGTTTAAGACGCGTTAAAACAGCAACACGAGCTGATTGTCAGGCAGCATAAGGAGCTTTATATGATCAGTGCTAGCTGCGTAGGTACTCAGATTAACCATTACAAGCCTCCAATTCGATTCATCAAGCGGCTTGACGAGCTGTCTGAACACCAAGTCACCTGTAGAGTGCAATAAGTAAAACTTGAAGAATATGTACCTCTGTTTTGAATATCATTAACTTCTTATTACATTTTAATTCAATGAGAGAATACTAGCCATTACTTTTTCCTTTTCTAGTCTTCATTTTTATTCACCGAGAGGAATTAAGTCCGTCATTGTATGTATCTTTTCGATACAGCCTGCTTGGACTACATTTCGCTATTCGGAACTACAATTTCTGGCTTATCAGCAAAAACATTCACGTGATAAATGGTACATATGTTGTTTCTAACTGAGGTAGAAATTGTAGCTCCTATTGAAAAGCATATGTATAGTCTATTTCATCCAATTAAAAGTTGAAATGAGGGAGGCACAAAGGATGACAAGATTTTTTGGTTGATCAGTCGCTGACTTCTCTTCTGAAAAAACAAATCTCTTCAAAGGAGTCGATTTCTTGTCAAGACTCAATTTGAGTCAGTGGGAATGAAAACACACCAACTTGGAAAAATGAAATTGTTCAAGAGACACAAAAACCTGCAAAGTAGGTGATGAAGTTGGTCAAAGAAAAAGCTTTTTAATGCCATAAAGGACATTTTGGGACACTTAAAAGGTCCAAGGCAGTGTTAGTGGGTTCTCTGTGTGCGAGATCTGTATGCTCTGCTGCTCTCCGTGCTGCTATTGGCTGTGCGCCATTCTGTGACGTCACGGACACGGATATTTTATGATAGGGAAGCATTTGCCTAAAAGGTTTTTGTCCGTAACCGTGCAGGGAATGTCCGCGCAGCATGGATAAATCCGTACGCTTGGAATCACTGGTCCAAGAATACATGAATGTGCCATCTTCGATGGCTTTTATGGAATTTTGGCATTTTTAAGCTCTGGAGTTGGTGTGTTTTCATTCTCTTAGATTCATTTATTATCATTTCTTTTGACGTAGGATATTCGTCTCTATTGTATATCAGTCTTCATCTATCCATCTAGAGCCAAATCTCTCCTTTCTAGTATTCAATCATTCAATTATAGTAATCTTTCAGCTTATAATTCACTCAAAGTAAATCTCTGAACTTGTGATCTTTTAGGCAGATCCAAAACTGTAGTAAGTCAATCAATTATTTTCCATCTCTGTCAATTTAGTTCAGATTACATGCGTTTCCTCTGCTTTTACAAGGCACGTTATTTATAAAACTCTTTTTTCAAGGTCAAGGGAATTTGGCCTGGTAACTCAGACCTGCAATATCAGTTAGTTAAATTTTTATGGAGAGTTAATTGTGTTGATAATTCTTAATTGGACATGATTCATTTTCCTAGTAACGGCTAAAAGAAATTGCTGGAATGTCTGATATTTCCATTAAAAATTGTTCCAAGTCTTTAGTGCTTTAAATCAAAGTTTTTATACTCTCAACTAATTTTGTGCCCAGCTGTAATGGTTTCGCTGTCGTGCGTTAGTTGCTGGGCTAGTAAAACGTCTATGTAGATTCTAAAATATTTTTAGTTTTTCTTTTTCTTTATTCCTTTTTTTTTTAGTGATTTTAAGGAACATTCGCAAATGAAGTTCTATTTGCTTAGTACAGCAGCGGCCTGAAAAATATTTTAATCATCTTGTTCTTTTATTATTTTACAGTGTACATCAATAATATACTCCTTTAATTACATTAACTGATCATAGTTGTTCCACATAATTTCAGAGTTGGCTTTAACGGAAGATCTCCGCGTATTTATGTTATGCTCTTTTTATGTTCTGTGTTAATTCAGTTTCATTATAAATATATATTTTTGTATTATAAGTACTTCGCCTTTTCATTTAGTTTACTCTATTTTGCTCGTTCAAGGGCATTTGAACCAGGCACCTTTAAGCATGTTCTGTGCCAATATGTTATTTTGTATTTGTTCTCACAGCACCTGCAGAAATTGTCAAAAAGGGGGCAAACATTATTGAACGATCGAAAAAACCCAAGGCAGGATCAAGAAGTAGGACTTTAGCATGGTCAAGTTCTGAACTTTGCAATGTATGAGGCCCGCTTATAAAATACGCAGCACTGAAAATCTGATGATTTGGCACCTCCCTCACAATACATCCACAACACAGATCCTCTTCCCCTGAAAAATTTACCAAAATCTTTGTTTGAACCTTCAAATTAGTAAGTTGTAATGAATTTAGAATGAATAATATTACCAACTAGCATCAATTTCTCATCTTAGCTTTGTAAACTTGGCACTGCAATCTGTGATGCAGTCCTGAACGTCTTCCTCTCCTCTTGTTCCTGTCATGGACCTGTAAAACAAGCTTAGACCCCTCTTCTTCTAGAGCGTTAAGTATTTAATGAACGACCCCCAAGAATAATTTTCTAGGTAAAATTTTGAAAGGAACCACGAAAAGAAATACTTAAACCCACATCTTGTACAGTGCCCCATTTTTTGCTTGACGTTCCTACATTTTAACTGTCTTGTTTACTCATTCATTTGCCATCCTCAATTCACCAGTGTTCGGGCCTGAGAAGTTCAACTTGCCACACTCCCTTCAAGTGAATAAGGCTTCTTACTGCTAATATGAATAAAAAATATCAGAATCTCCTCTCACTTTTTTGAGTAAAAAAGGTGAAATTCAAAAAATGCCAGGCGTTTAAAAATAATATTTTTACTTCAAAACAAGTACTTAAAAATAATTATAAATCAATCGTACATTTTTACAATTGCAAGAAGTGCAATTAACATAAACTAAAACGTTTTAAACCGAACTGCACAAATAAAATTCTTCACGAAACAGCCCTACAGCAGCACTTTAAATTTTACCTGTTTTGTCTGTTCAGACAAAATAGAGGTTCTGACTACATGGAACATTTTACAGCAATTCATTTTTTTTTTAAGAGACAACAAAGAGAAATGCATCACCATTACTAAAAATTGCTCACCGAAGAAAAATAATGCCTTAGCAAACAGAGAAAAGTTTAATTTGTCAGTCATTGTGTGTAGTCTCCTTTCGATAGGACTACAAAAGAGTCAAGGGTTAAAACAGAGATTTGATTTAGGTACATGAAAATCTTGAAAACATTTTTGGGAATCATAACTTGATTTCACATTGATTACTCAGCAAATGATGCAACTTACCGCTCTGATAAAAGATAGGATACAGTAAAACCTCAATAAAACGACCTTCAATTTGACAACTTTTTTGATGGAACAACAATTTTTGTCGAACCCATCAAAATCCTTACAGTAACATTGTATTTTGGTTTTGAAATAACGTTGACACAGTAAGCTCAGATTTGATTTGGCAACAATTTCGATAGTGGCTCCTTATCTAAAACAAGGGGCGGCGCTCTAGGGATTGAACTCTAGCAGTGGAATTTTTAATATTCAGTTCTGATAGCGCAGTGTCACGGTCTGACATTTCAGGCTCTGTCTTGCCGTTCGTTCTTGTTTGCCATATTATGACAGCACCACAAGTTTAGTTCATCAATTTATGCAAAAAAACTTTAGCCAATGTTCAACGCCAACGATGTAACGATAAACTCAATTTAAAAACTATTTTTGAAAGTAGTTATATCAAGATTTTTATTGAATGATGAAAACTTAACTCGAATTCTGAAATTTCGAAGCTGAGCAGGACACTCCTGACAGATTAATAAAAGAATAGAAAAATAATGATGAAAAAAAAAAAAAAAATAAGTACAAACTATGCTTGAAAAACCTGTTTCATGTTACATACAGAAAGCAGGGAATAATGTAAAATTGTAAGTACAAACAGGAAAATTTGAAATAAATTAAAACCTTAATTATTTTGTTTTACTCAACTTTCCACAGCCTTTTCTTGAGAAAGAAAAGACCGAAACTAAATATATAAATAAGTCTCATCAAGTTGAATTTCGATGGGTGAGTGATTAGTTTTAAAACGATATTGCACTTTACTGTTGTGATGTGTTTGAAAAAAAAATGATGATGTATGAATAGCATTTCATTGATCATTTGATCTGATTAAAAAAACTATGAAAGTGATGATAATGTGAGGAAAAACCGTACACATTGCGAGTCTCATTACACCAAGATTAAATATTTGCTGGAAGAAGTGATTACATAATTATAAATGATCAGGAAGAAAGCTTTACATCCGGGGAAAATAAATGAGGATTTTTGCTGTATGCTCGGACTTTACATAATAAAATACTAAAAATTATCAGTAAACTAAAATTGCACGTTTGGACCCTGATTCATTAATGACCTAAAGGACTTATGTTCCACTTTAAGTTGTGCTTCCTTCAAATAACACTCTTTCAACATAGCATTTTTTTATTATTTTTTCTGCTCCTATTTTATTTATTAACTAATTCAAGTACGAATTACTTTCAAGTAAAATTGATTGTTTCAAAGGGCAGATACCGAGTTTTTTACAACTTAACAGCTGACATTGCAGCTGAAAATTCTGATATGGTTGATTAAAAATGTCTCGTTTTAGGCAATGATTTACAGCCATTCAATAAACATATCTCAGAAAAAATAAATAGCTTGACTTATCTTACAATGTTATACAATTACTGTTTTTCTTTACAGAGAAACACCAGGATTGTGTTATTGCTATTGACATTTGAATACGCATTAAACAAAATTTATCTGGCTCTGCAAGCTTCAAGCAGTAATCAGGCAAATAGTAGACAGTTCCAGACAGTGCTGATGACACTGAGAGGCAGATTAAAATGTTGATTTCAAAATTGCAAACTATTTGCGATGTTGCCTAGGTTCTGCAGTGACAGAATAAGTCATTTTACCTAAATATTCACTAATTTCTGACAGTAAAACAAAAGAATAAAAATTGATGATAATTTCCGCTCAACACCCATGTTTCCATTTTTTTTCATAAATAAAGTACAAGTTGTACCTTCGACGAAAATTTCTCGCTTAAAACTGAGATAAATCTATTTTAAATATTTTAATGGACAGCTTATCTGTAAATTTGACTAAAACCTACAGCTTCAATAAATGCAAAATGCTACAACAACTATATATTTACACAAACGCGAACACATTATCATGCATACAAATAAGTAAACGACTGCATTTAAAAAAACATTGCACAAGGGATTGAGTGACTAAAGATACAACATTAATAAATTCTAGGATCATTTGATGCGCAAACTGCGCTGTTTGTTCATGTTGGTCAGCATAAGTGAAATATAGGATGTCAGAAGGTCATCCATCTTGTATCCAAGGGACGTTTCACACAGCAATTTCGAGCCTCGTACTAGGTTTCCAATCGTCATGTGGAAATACGTGTTGCCTGACGACCAGTTGGAAATACGTGTGAATGGATGAGTTACTAATATGTCTTTTGTTTGCGGATGGATTAAACTGACTCCATGTTTATTGATAGCGATTAGGAGCATTTCCGGATAGTTTGGCTCTGTTGTTTGTTTCACCTCAAAAAAAGCTGATCCGAAAGTTGGCCATCGGTAAATAATTTTCAGGAAAGTTATCTTAGCATCTTCTGGGCTCATTCCTGAAAACAAAGGGAGAAATGGATAAAGAAGTGATGAGTACAAGAAAATGACAATCTCTCATCAAATTAAAATGGGTACAATTGGATCCGTGAGAATGAAAACACAGCAGCACTGAGAATGAAAAAAAAAGCACGCTTCAAGGAGAAATGAAAGAGAGGGAAGGTAAAGTAAAACCTTCGCTCAGTTTTCGAAGATAGGGTAAAATTAAGTGGAAAGTTTGTGACATAATATCTTGTCTTTCAGTATGGCTTAATGACAGCATCGATACCTACATATCTTCAACAATATTGAATAATAAATGGAGGGTTGCCCAGGAATTTTCACCACTGGTTGCAGAGGAATTTTCATCTGTTTAGAATATGTTTTTGCTTCTTACCTGCATCTTGATTGTATGCTGCTACGATTGACCTCTTCCAGTCTGCTGCACTCTCAACCTTCAGGAAATCTCCTGGAATTAGTTCTCGGAGCATTTGACTGGAATACAAAGAAATGATTAAAATAAAATATAATTTTAGAAATGGATATCGATATCAAATTGAACAAAACTAGAGCTGTATGAACCATTGAAAAGTTTGAATTAGATATTGACAATGGAACTCCCAAACCGCATACTACTGTTTGCAACATTGCAGACTTCCTGCCATACTTCATTATTCGAAATTGAAAACTACTCAACATTAAATCTTGAGACTTCTAGCAGTTTTTTTCCCCCTGTTTGAGGAATATTCTGTAAAAATTTCAAAATTAAATGTCACTTTAAGTTGGTCTCCTTCAAAAAAATGAAATGGGGGCAGAAATTTTGGATCACCGTAAACAAGATACAAGGTTTGAGAGTTTCATACGTCAAAATATCTTTATAGACTTCTCTCAGCAGTTTGCAGGAACTGATGGGTCTCTTGATTCTACAAATGTTGATGTGATTTTGAGGAGACTGGTGTGTAATTGTGGTTTTCACAGGACAACCAAATCTGGTTCCAAGTCTCTGGTTATCTCCAGAGACTTGGAACCAGAACAAAAGAAATAGGAATAAAATGGATAAAAGCAGAACAGGATCGATTGAGTATATGGAATCAGTCAACCTCCTTATGACACACTTATGAGAGTCAGGTTGGGTTAGTTCATAAAGGAGGATAATTCGTGCATCATTAGGTATTGTCGTATAAAGCTTTGCAAGCTTCACAGAGCGCAAAGCTTTCTGGAACCATTGGACGTATTTATGCTGGAAGGAACTATGTGCAAGTGGAAAGATGGGGTGTGCTCATGGAAGCTGGATAAGAAACAATGTAAAAGTGGATATAGTTCCTTTTGAGAAAATGGAAAAGTGGGATTTGACATTAAATCAAAAGGAACTGAGTGCTAACTTGTGAGCCGTGGACATGTGACAAGAGCTTTGTGGACAGGGTTCATGAGTTAAAGAGTCCTGCCACCCATCTCCCCGTCGTGCCTCCTTGTAGTTGCTGCTAACGTCACTGGTGCTTTTAAGCCCCATTCATTCTTATGGCCCTCAACTAACGAGCACACCCCATCTTTCCACTTGTACATAGTTCCATTTAGCATAAATAGTCCAATTGGATGTATTTATGTTAAAAGGAACTATGTTGCACTCAAATCCTACACGGATAGTTCCCTACAGCAGAAATATGTTCAATTACATGAGATTGCGGTATTTGCTGAATTTTTGTATTGTAGTGGCACAATTGGGCTCAAGTGAAATGGATCTTGGAATATTCATATCAAAAACCAAGTATAGAGATAATTTTGATCTCTAAATTTAAGTCTAATTGAGGTTTGAAAAACAGTGATGAACTTACGGAATAGCCTGGAGTTCTTGCTTACTCTCTCCAAATCGAACCCTGTACACCAATGCAGCAAGACGAGCTGCCTCCTCTCTGGTACACTTGTGATAGCCCCTCAGGAGTTTAGGCAACTCCTGATGAAAATGAAAGATCAGGTCAGCATTTCTGTCTTTTCCAGGCACTGTATTTGTCCAGAGTTTTTTCATGAAAAAAACCTGATATGTAAATTGAGGAGTGGTGCCATCGCGTGACGGTCGGGCTTTTTTGATCCAATCTGTTAGATGTCGGACAAAGTCGAAAAAGAAGTCGCCTTCTGGGACGGAGATGACTTTGTCTGCGATTTTCACAAACAGGCTAAACCCTTCACACGAACGTAGATTCAGTCTTTGAGCAATGTTGGCGCAGAAGTCTTTGGCACGCGTTGATGAGTCCACCTGAAAATTATTAAATTCACTCTATCATTCAAGCGAAGTTTATGAACTTCCATCCATAGGAACGAAAGTAAACGAAGTTAAATACAGTCTTCAGTAATAGCAAACCTCTAGGGCATTAATTAATTTTGGATTCCGAGGAACGCAAATCTATGCTGTAGCTTTTGAATACCTAAACATTAAGTTCCAATTATTTTTCTAAAAATTTCAAAAGTTTGGTATACATGTCTCAAAAACAAAGATACTGATACAAATTTGCGACATCATGCCACAGAGGAATGATTCTTTTTTTAAAGAACCAAAGAAGCATAGTAACAAAACCATTACACCATGCCATAGAGGGTTAATGATGATGATAATGGTGATGGTATCAAAATCCTTCTAATTAGTTTCTTAAGGATTTGAGAATTCTAAACACCTTTAAAATGAAACGAATGTAGTTAGTTTTTTTTCACATTTCAAAGGACGATCTTTTGCTTTCATAATAATTATTGGTCGGCAAAAATAGTTGCGAGGATCATCGTAAATAATTTTCAGTGTCCAACAAACACAGCGCACTTAGAGGACAAAAATGATATGCTCACCTCAAAAGCCTCATCCGTATCATCCGGGAAATAAACTTTATGAAAGATTTGCGTTGTTTTGTGTTGAATGGCTTCGACTTCAACTTGGTGTGGAGGGTACTTCCGCTGTCCGTTGCGCAGTGTCTTTTGCAATCTCTGAAGAGAGTCTTGAGATATTGGATGCCGTCTAGTTCTTAAGAACAAAGTAAGTTCTTTCAGTAGACTCTGGCTACAAGCAAAAAGTCCTGTTGCCAGCCACATTAGTTCCCAACCTCTTTCCTCACTCAATCGATTGCGGTTTCCAGTTAATTGCTTCATCAGCTGACAGTAGATTTCATCACGTAAAATTTCCTATATAAGAAAACATTGATAAAAACATTTAATTACATAGTGAATAATTTTGATAAAAAATCAATTAGTTAATGTGGACGCTTACAACTTTCAAAATATTAGCTAACATCGAAGCTCATAAAAAATAGTAAGCCTACATTACTAACAGTTAAGGTAACAGCACCAGTACCCGGAATGGTACCAGTATCCGGAAATTTGCTCAGTTTTTCGTAAAAAAAGAAAAAACCTCAATTTCTGGGCACACTAGAAAAAATCAATTAGTTAATGTGGACGCTTACAACTTCCAAATTATTAGCTAACATCGAAGCTCATAAAAAATAGTAAGCCTACATTACTAACAGTTAAGGTAACAGCACCAGTACCCGGAATGGTACCAGTATCCGGAAATTTGCTCAGTTTTTCGTAAAAAATAAGCGGTAGGTACAGATAATAGAAGGAGCGCACGACCATCACACTTATTGCAAAGGGGCGCCCTCTGAGTGTAATTTGTGAAAACCTGATGCCCTTTTTGCACTGATGTACCGCTTATTTTTTACGAAAAACTGAGCAAATTTCCGGATACTGGTACCATTCCGGGTACTGGTGCCTTAGCCAAAAATACTACGAGAACCTCGATGCATGACAAATTTTAGCATTTTTGTGTGCACCTCTAAAACATCTCAACACCATAAGCTGGTGTGTTTCATGCACACAAACAAACTTATTACCTATAGCTTTCATAAATGTTCAAAAAATGGCTGTAGTAAAGATATAACCTGGAGAAAATTCAAAAGAAGCTAAATGGAAAAATTCGTCTCTAGACGTTCAAGAAAAAGATTCCCAGTTTCAGCAAACAAACTTCCTGATTTTTTCCTGAAATTTTTCATTCCCTGATCAATCCCGGATTTTTGGGGTTTTTTCCGGTCTTGACACCATGTTTTAAAGCTGAGATTATACTTAGCATGTACCTTTGCACCGATTTGATTTATATTTTTCTGGTCAGGAGATATAAGGTAGGAGACCTTACTTTAGGAATGACCCTTGTAATCAAAGAGCTTCTGAGACTTACATGTTTGAGAGGTCCATCAAAAATCTGGTCTGTGTACTCATTGCCTAGACGTCTCTTGGCAGGCAGATCACCCATGTATTTGAGTATTGCAGTGAATGCAAAACAAGCCTCCTCTGCTAATTCCTCCTTGCCAAGCAGTTTCCTCAACAGAGGCTGTTTCATTGGTTCACGACTATGACGCCACAGCTCATCAGCTGCTGAGCCTCTGGCCGAGGTTAATGTCAGCGTTTTGGACATGGTCCTTTTTGGTGGGGCTCTGTAAATCGATAAATAAAAATAAGCCTTTATATTGACATTGGTAGCTTTTAAAAAAACTCACAAACTATACAAGTATTCAGGATTATCACTTTGTGCAAGTTTTAAAACTCCCCTTCATCTATATGAAAATGTTGACAAATGTCACGTCGAATCATGAGTTTTTTCACGGAAGTAAGAGATGCAATAAAAGCGTAGCTTCTGACTATGTAAAAGTAATTAGCTTACTGAGGCTTTTGACTATGGAAAATAAAATTTTTAATATAAAAACCTAAAATTAATTTAAACTTCCCCAGAATAAAAAGTTAACAAGGCAGAGAAAACAAAAGTCTGAATACTTAAAACACAAAACATTCAAAAGCGAACATCCCCAATTGAATTAAAAGTACATGAAACCCACTATCTCCTGAAAGTCTCATTAATAAATGACCAGAAATTATATTAGACGTTAATCAAATACTTAGAGATCAAGGTTATTGTCTTTTGGGTTAACTTTCTGGTTTAATTTTTCTTGTTTTTAGTCAAGCTCAACTAAACTTAACAGTCTTAGTTATGCAAAGGAAAAGTATTAGACTCACCTAAAATGATCTAATGCATATTCTAGAAGAGTGTGAGGTTTTTCGCGAGTATCTACACCATTAACTTGTTGTGGGTGCAATCTCCGCCCATTTTCAGCTCCATCAAGACTAAACAGAGCCTAGAAAATGAAATTTTACATAAATAAATAGGAATATGGAAGCAGATTGATTTAAATTAATTGAATCCTAAAACATTGGATAGCACACAGGGATTGACTGTAAGGGTAAGTATATTTACTACCTGACTGGTGCACTTACACAGTCGAAGACTCTCTCCTACACATTCACCATATAGATAGACTTTTGATATTTAAAAATATGCCCCAGTTTGAAGGTGGAGCCTTCAATACAGGGACAGTTCCAAAATGAAATCAAAGTTTTAAGCTAAGAAAAAGCAGGAGGATGGCAGGAGAGGTGGTTTTCATGGAATTGAATTGCGTTCAGTTGTTTGATATTGACATCCATGTAATTCGGGTGTGCTGAAGTATGTTTGATGAATTTAAGAAGTGTCTAGAGCAATAGAATAACGCTAAATTTTGTATTAAGCTGGGCAAAACTTCTACTCCAACTTTCGATACATTAAGGGCAGTTAATGCTGATATGAAAAGTATCAAATTCGTATTCAAAGTTACGAAATGATTAAGCGATTTTGAACAGTTACAAATCGGTGGAAAATGAGGTTCATGGAGGCAAGCCGAGTACATCAAATGATGAGTTCTTGTTCAAGCTGCATAAAGAAGCAAGCTGACCGGTGTTTAGCCATTTGAGAGCATTTAAATGAGCTGAATAATTATTATGGGCCTGTTTCGGTAATTTTATCTCAAGATTTGCACAAGCAAAGTTTTTGCAGAGTGAAGGCTGACGTTGTCAACCCAAGCACATAAAGAAAAGTGTGTTCCCATGAGTAAAATTATTAGTGATGCTGAAACACAAGTGCTGAAAGACACAATGATTTTGCTTTTTTTCAAAATTTCAAAACGCATTTCAGCGCATCAGAATTTTACACAAATGTTGGAAGCAAACTACTAAAAATAAGTAAATTCTGTAAAAATCAGTATGTTATGTTGGGCATTATCATCAGGATATTGGCAATCAGATAAGCCTGCAAAAATGTCAAACAGATGGCACACGACGACTAAGGTTTGGTTTCTAAGTAACCAAATCGTGCAAGCAGAGATTTTTAATCATTGCAATGAAGAGGCATACTTTTCAACTATATTAACGATCTAAAGTTTCGTAATTAAGTGGTAGGTTTAAAAGCATTTCAGCAGATTTTTCAAATACTCACGAGTATATCAATGGGTGGCTTGCTGAGCGCTGGCAAAACATACACTGTTTCTGCTGGAAAATCTCCTTTTTCACCAGTTCTTTCGCATCGGCCAACACACCATCCAGAATTCATCACACTTTCACCTGTGCTCTCTTCCTCCAACATGATGAGGTCACCTTTTTGGAAAGATAAAAATGATGATCCTTCACCTGAAAATACATAAAACACAAAATAATTATCGCCATAATGATGCCAGTTAAAATTTTTAAAATCATGGCCTGAAGCTGAGACAAGTATATTAATCTACTGAGAAAAAAAAAAACTAGAAGTCAAGAATATGATATGCCCACGGTTTTTATCTACCAAATGTGGTAAAAATACCACAATTGGTATCTCTCCTTTATGAGGAGGATGTTGCTACGGCAGAAGCTGAATCCTCGATTGATCAATTAATGGATTAATTTATTCCTGATACTGTGATCTTCGACAATTATGACAAATACCAGATTTCCTTCTTACATACTATTGTTTTTTTTGCAATTCTGTCTAAACAAATAAGCATCCCAAAGACAGTTTAAGTATCTTCACTTCAAAGAAATGAACTATATCATAAGATAAAACTTAATAAGATTATTTATTATTTCAATTATAACGATTGAAGAAACATTTGCTTTAAAATGAACGAGAAAGAAGTGCTCCTAATAAAAAATAAAATAAAATATTTGATTCGATATTAGAAATTTTTTTATTTATTGGATTTGAGTTGAGTCAACTCGATTCAAAGCCAAAAAAATATCTTTGTCCAGCCCTTCCAGAGACGCAACTAGACAAGGAACATGTCGGAAAAAAGGATCTGCATACAAATGAAGGCTATAGTTACTCTTTTTCCTTGAAAATTAAATACCCATCATCATTGTTGCATTCAATACTTAAAACTGAGGAAAGTTGTTTTTTTCTAGAACAGAATCTAGTACTCTCCAAGGCAAAACTAAAGGTGGAAAATTCAATTACCAGGTGCTTTGTAGTCTTGTAATGCAATAACATAGTTTGAGCGTTTTTTTAGACCCTCAAGGAAGTAGACGACAAGATCCCTAATATCCTCTGCATTTGGGCTTTGGAATGTAAACTCTTCGCCTCGTACCGTTGATAGTGTGAATGTCTGCGTAAAAACTTTGTTGGTTCTGAAATCAGGATACAAACTGAATTACAACTGGTGAATCAAACTGTAAATTAACAAAAGCTCATAATACTGCATGTTATCATGCCAATATTGTTTCTCATCTAATTGTGAGTTATGGCTCAGCGCCATAGGGAAGGCGGAGGAGTCAATCAGCTGGTAAACTTTTCACTGAGCAAGAAAAGATCATTAGAATTATTTTCAATCTGCCACACAACCACTCAGCAAAAGAAATTTTCAAGAGACACCAAATTCTAACTCTGCCCTTATACGAATGTTTCAAATTTGCTATCTATGAAAACCTACTAAAGCCGGACAACTTAATCCCTTTTCACACTTATAATAGTAGGCACAATTTTATTGAAGTCCCAAAACACAGGCTAAAGAAGAGGGAACAATGTCAAAATTGCTTTGACAACCTCTAGTCTCTGTCCAAAAATTTTAGAGATTTGTTTGAAGTAGGAAACATTGCTGGGTTCCTGACTTCACTTAAAAACTTTTTAGGAGCATATGCCCTGTAATCTGAGGAGGAATTCATCAACTTGTATTTACTATCTGTAGCATGTATCTACTATTATCATGTAACTATCTACCATGTGACTTGCATTATAGCCATGTACATAGCTCATGCACTAAATGTAAAAATAAAAAATAAATTACTTTTGACTGGAGACAGAGGTGATTTCCGGGAATGAAAGCTCTAACAAGACCTGTTCTTGATCATCAACGACATACACTCCTGTCCAATTTACAGCAATTATTACATCATTTTTGGGCAGGTTGGGTCCTAATGAACAAAGATACAAGACAAAGAATTCATTAGAAGTTATTAAATACCAGAACAGAAATACTTTCAGACTGTTGGGACACATTTTACTACTATGTTTATCTAATGTTTTACATTTGATTTTCATTAGTAAATGACATTACGACAGTGTCTTGAAAAATTTTTACTCTTAAAATTCTATCAAAGAAGTCACTGTTTCTGAGATAAGTGCCATTTAAGCTGTACCAAATGACGTGAAATGAAAAAGTAGAGCATTAAATGACCGCAGAAGTTGACGTCCCGTCACATTCTGTTTTTTGTTTTTGTTTTTGCAATGGCTTCACAGTACAGAAGAATACCGAAGGAGGTAGAGATGCAGCAATTTCCAGATTGAAAGTGAAGTAATAATGTACATCGGCCTATCAGCTGATGAAAATGAGGCTACATTAAAGCATAGACACTTTTTAGCGCTGGTATGTTGAACATACAGGTTGTGCAAAAAAAATAAAAGCTTATCAATATCTTGAGCGCAGGGGCAGATTTTTACATGCAATTTGTAAAAGACAATCTTAAACAAAAGTGGGCATATTTTTTTGGCATCAATTTTTTTGAAGTCAAAACATATTATTTACCCTGGGGTACTTCTCTGTTCTCTAGAGGAAGCACTTCTCAACACATCTTCTACATCTTACCATTTGGAAAATGAAATTATCTCCACTGATGGCCAATGAAAACCTGAACAACACTAAAAAAAGCAGAACACATTAAGATATGCTGGTCAAGACACATGCTACTTTTACCTGAATTCCTGTATGCTTCGTAAAACCTAGAGAAAAGTAACGGCCATTTGAACTTGGCATAGCTCACGACATCTTCCTTGACACGCAAAGCAGGGACTTTTTCTTTCAAATAGTAACTCTGCTCATGCAAAACATAAAAGGTACTTAATTATACAAAAAAAGGCAAAAGGCAAAAATAATTTAAAATCAACAACTTAAAATTGTCAACAACACATAATACATAATAATAAAAAGCAACAAAAAACTAAATAAAAAAGTTCATTGCATTAATGAGGGATAACTGGATGTTTAAAGATGCAGCAAAAGTTAGATTAATATCGTCAAGATTTGCAGGGGTCTCATTCAAATAGTCAAGGGAAAAGAATATAAATGGATGGATCAGTTGCGCTAGTCACAGTATCATCTTTCGGTGGTTTGAGCTTATAGAGTAGCAAAAAATAATCAGATTTGTTCAAACGCCAAGTTTCTGCTTCTCAAATTAACGGTGATATTGCTCATGAAACAACAGAGTAAATGACCTCATCCGAAGCGACAGTGCACCTTATGGTCTCTTCTAATTTGGTTTCATATGTGTTTTAAGACACATAACCATTGTAAATGAGTCTCTTACTGATTAATGAAACCAAGAGGGAAGAAACTGTGTTATGCACAACCGTCGTGGACGACACCATAAGCAGTGTTTTTTGATGAGCCATAGCTCTGTTAAAATTGGATGTAGAAACTTGGCATTTGGACAAATCTCGTTTTTTTTTTTTTTTATCTACAGGCTTAAACCGTCAAAACACGATGTTGTAACAAGCGCAACTGACCCATTGTTAAAATTTTTGTTCCTTTCACAGTAGGAAAAATATTGTTTTAATATTCAAAAAATATACTTAACAAGACCATGCAAAAAGTAAACGACACTGAATGTTAGAGATCAATGGGAAAAATCAATGTTTAATGATCTTTGTTTGCATAATAATTATCTGACAGACAGAGAGATCTCTTGTTATCACTGAATTGCTTTTCTTCTTCGTCCTATCTTTTTCCTGGTCTCCTTCTCCTAATTTCTCTTTTCACTTTGCTAAAATAAAATTTCAATACTTAATCTTGTTAGGACTTCTCTCTAGCTGCTTGCTATTATGGATTTTCAGTAGAAGTATTAAGACATGCAACATGCAACATAATACTAGTTCTTTAGTCAATTAAATATGACTACCTCTTCAGCCAAAATAAAATGAATTAAATATTACAACTGTAGAGCTAAAGAGTATACACCTGAAAATTGTGCACACAAGTAGTTAACATGCAGTCAAAAACAATCAAAACTAAAATATATTATGCATTCAGATAAAATTGTATTGGTTTTCTGAAAAATATCACATTAGAAGAAAGTTGGTTTTTGAAGGCAAATTGAATTTTTATCGGTTTTAGAATGCATAGGAGTGGATTGTATCATACTTTCCTTTCAATGTTCAAGCTTCCATTAACAGAAATTACATCGGTGGTTCTCAAGCTGTCATCTGAGTCGCAGTCGGTGTATTCATAAAGTTATATTTTTCAGAGAAAAATCAACCATTGACAAGTTTTTGAATTAGACATTATCGCTTCAAATGCAGACTAAAGGACAAGCTTTGATGCATCGCAAATGAGTTGAAAAGATAATTGGTATTGTACATACCTTCTTGTAAGCTTGAATGATTAAGGCTGCCCATCGATCCAGTGATTTGTCGGCGTTGGTGAGGCAATAATCAGGAATGTAGTTGGGCAAAAGATTTAGCAACCGCTCAGAATTCATATCTGTGCTATATTCTATGTAATATTGTTGAGCACCTATCATGGCTAAATCCTCCTCCTGTTAGATGAAAGAAAGGGGAAAAGTAGAGTATACATCAGAATATAACACAAACCGTTCAACATTCTCCTTGCGAGATGAAAGTATTGTGTGAGTGACCGTTGGTATTTTGATAAACAAGATCCAATACCTCAGACACCTAATTACTTTTGTAAAGGACAATTCGATGGTGTAACTCCCAAACCCTGTATCTTGTTAGCAGTGTTTAAAAATCTCTGCTCCGTTTTTATTTATTTTTATAGAGATCGAATTGGCATTATCCCTCGAAAATTCCACAGAATTTTCTTCACGCAGAGAAGAAAATCACGGAAGTTTTAAAGAATAGTTTTCCATTCAAAAATAAGGTACGACAAGAAGTTTGCATTGTTGCAAACCGAGATACAGGGTTTGGGAATTTCACTATCAAATTGATTTTAGTGAAGAAGATACTTCAATGAGAGTAACTCTATAAAAATTAAAAATTTCTAAAAAACTCAAGCTTTTGCCGATCCTTCAGAACACCTAAATATTGTAGTTCTAATGCATGTGCATGCTTCTTCACATCAAGGATTCAGGTTCAAAAAGGAGCAGATTAAAGATTGAGGGCTGGTATGTCAATGATGATAAAAGAATAAAATAGACGTTTTTCGAACAGAATCAAGCGCCGATTTGAGTTCCTTTTGAGGATTTTAGAATCCAGGATAGTAAGTTCTAACAAACAGAACTAAGCGTCATGGAAAATCATTGTGAGCATAAGACAGGTGGCCGCTTTCCAACCACCAGCACCTGCCAATCCAATCCACCCTCTCTTTTCTTCCCCCTTAGGTACTTTGTTCCGTTCAGCAGAAATACGTCCAATTAAAGTGAGAGCGAAAAAAAACCTGTATACTCACTTTATCGCATCTGTACTCGCCAAATTTGACACCACGCACTACTTGCTGGTAGATCAAATTGGTGGCAACCTGATCCTCAGTAGGTTCATGCCAAGGAGCAAATATTTCTTTGCGGAAGAATAATCGCCATGGGGCATTCCTCTCTTGGGCACCTTGCTCTTTGGCATATTGTTCACATTGAGAGATGGCATCCATGACATGGTCACCACCACTACCTAAGGATGAAACCTGCAAGAAGATACATTGACTATTAGAACAAGAGTAAATTTTATTGATATAGAATACATCACAGGCCATAACAAGGATACACTTTTTCTGAAAGGTTTTACCATTTCATAGTTTGGTAATGTGACGAAGCCAGAGACATTATCATTTTCAAGTTTTCTGACCTCGACGCTTTCTTTGGACCTTCCTCTGAAATTAGTTGCAAAGCTATTGGAATGCTTGTCATTTGAGCAAGAAATGAGAGGCTTGGAGGAAAAGGTGCACAAGTTCAGTTTTTGGTATTTCGAGAAATATGTATTTGAAGTTTCAAAATTACACTGTAGTAAACTGACTTTTGGATGCTTAAAAGCTGGAATTTGGGAGCCAATTTTCACAGAGTATGCAGTTAGGCTAGTTTACCTTGAAATCATTAATATTTCAATTTTTTCAAAAACTGCACTTATGCGCCTTGTCCTCCAAGCCCCTCAATATGATAGAGAAGTTGATTACACGCAGAAATCAAGAGAGGAAAAAAAATAGACTGAAAAAGAGAAATATGCAGCCAATTATTGAAATCTGAACTATTAAACTGGCTTTGGACACTTGCTACATTGAATTTTTAAAAAACCAACAGTACTTTGATGACTGGCTCTATTACTGAGGTAAACGGAAGTCAGATGACAGACAGAGGTGAAATGCATTTAGTTTAAAAGAACGAAGGGCTGACGGAGTGATCTTAGTTGAAACTTAAACATTGTTCTTATTTTTTAGAGCCTTTACAAAAGATTTTAAGGCGCATATTTCGTCAAACCTACACTTAAAAACTTTCAAAAACGAATTTGATACAAAAAATTTTGCAGAGCTGGTAAGAGCTTTAAAGAAATAATTTCGCAACAGCATTGCCTATTATTGCTAGCAGATGGATCCAAACAATCAAACAAAGCTATATTCAACAAAGTGATAATTTGTAACATATCTCATAAACGCAAAGACCTTCACCTTGTCAAATAGGGCTATGTACAAAGAAAAACCAAACTGGTCTCTGAGACCAATTTTATCCGAAAGTTGATTACACAGTTCTCGTGCTGTTGTTGCCGAGTCTGCTAATAGAGTCTTTGTATTTCCATCCATAAATGTTATCGGTAACATTATTGGTTTCTTTGATTTGGTTGCCTGAAAAAAAGAAAAAAAATTAAATTTTAAGATTTATTAAAAGATGGAAGATTAAAAGATTAAGATTTAAAAAAAAAGGTTAAAAAATTAAAAGATTGATAGAGATTAATACTGCTTAAATTGAATGTTTTATGCAGAGTTGGAGAAAAGTGACGGAACTTGATGGGAAAAAATGAGAGGTGAGAATTAAACTATTGCAATTAAATTGGCTGCAAAGATTGAACCCTCTCAAAGGAAACAATGACATTAAAAATGTGAGTGTACTGAGGCTAGCCCTAGATACATTCTGAGTATGGTGTGAGAGCCCGATAAGATTATTCTTTAATTTCAGAGAGAAAAATTTGATAAGAATCATGAGTGCTAAGTTCAAATAATACTTCATTACTTTTTCATAAATGCCACAGATTTACACGTTATTTTAAATGCATGCGTGGGTAAACTAATAATAATGATAAAAAGAAGTTTGTAAACTACACAGCTTTGCAATAAGAATCCAGTATATAGTGCAAAAATAAAGCTCTGAAAGTCTATGCACTCGCACATCCCGCACAAAAAATGTTCATTTGTTTTACTGTCAATATAAGAACTTCATACGAGGTTAAAAATGATAATATTTTCACCTGCAGTTCCAGCCAACTCGGGGGCTGATTTCTAGTTCCATTGTTGAAAGTTCTCTTGAGCCTGTCTTCACAGTAAGGAGCATATCCTGGTGGCCCTTCCCGGATAAATGCCCGTAGGTAGTTGACAAATTTCTCCGATGGAGCAAAACAACCGACACACAACGATAGAAGAATCCAGCCACGCGCATGAGAAGATTTTGATGGATTATTGGTGAGCTGCTTGCAGATTTGACAATAGATCTCATCTCTGGAACAAACAAATTAGTTTGAGGCATGAGAGATTAGTGGAGGGGAATAACGGCTAAAAATTGCCAAACTTTGGTTAATTTTTTGCACTTGTAGAGAAATAACTTTAAACCTGAAGTTCTGGTTCTATGAATCTTGCTCATTATACAAAGATTATTTATCCTAACAAATCAATACTGTCATTTTTTCATCAATGGACCACTAGACAAGGTACGAATTTCAGCATTCTGATACATGTTTCTGAACAAGATTTTCATGTAGAACACGATGCGCACAACGAAAATTACCGAAATTAACTCCTTACGAAGATATTAAATGATTCTTGATGCGTGAATTCAAACCACCCGCTCATGAAAACTCAATGCTCTACGTGATTCACATCACGCGCTAAACGTTCATCATGATAGTCTCTGCAATAAAAAAATTTGGCAACCCCAATCTTGACGGTTTGGCTCAGCTATAGCAAATTACTTATAGTTTGAACAACGCATGGTGGGAAATGAACATTGCTCGATCGAGAAGCTTGCTGAAACCGTTGTAGTGCGCGATTTGCCTCACGTAGAGCTTTGAGTTTCTTGTGAGCGGGAAGTTCAAATTCCTCGTAACCAATGTGAAATAAAAATGGTAATATCTCCGTTAGGAGTTGGTTTCAGTAATTTTCGTTGTGTGAATCTTGTTCTAAATGAAATTCTGGTTAAGAAACATGTATCAGAATGCTTAAATTCGTACCTTGTCTAGTGATCCATTGAAAATTTTTCTGATCTGACCACATTGCATTGCAATATTCAACGGGAGCTGGAAGAGAGTAAAAATTTGAGAGTCTCGGAAAATTTGAGAGGTTTGCAACGGCATTGAACTTCATCAGATGACGCTCTTTTTTTCTACAGGTTCAATTCAATCAATGAAAACCGTTCAAAGGGAGACTGGAGAAAATTCTTAAAATTCTTTTTTTAACTATTTAAATCTTTTTTTAATTTTTTCTCTCCATTTTTCCTTCTTTTTTTTAAATTTCTGAAAGTTTGCACATTTTATTGAGATAATGCTACAAAGTCTATTCTATAACAACGTTCTATACACAATACGGTCTGACATGTAGTAATAATTAAAAAAGTTAAAAACATGAATTTTTCCAGGATCTAAACTCTACTGGGGACCAACAGTTTCACTTCATTTTTAAAAAATTTGACAGAGGATCATAATTTGTCCACTAATTCCTCCATTTTTGACCGCTGTGCGATGTAAATTTGTGAAGCTGAACACAATTTCATTCAATGATGATCGATAAGAACATTGTTAGCCATGAAAACTGCAGCAGACCGACAATTTTACTTCCATGTCTAAAAATTTGACAAATAATCTTGATTTGTCGACGATTTCTCCCCATTTTGGACCACTGTGCGACCAAAATTTTTGAAACTGAACACAGTTAAATGTTTGGGGGCCCAATGAGAACATTTACAGCCGAAACCCATCAAAGGTGTAACTTTTTCGTCCATTTTCCCCGTCTTTTCGCTGTAGAAATGCTGTCCAGAATGATGGCGATTTGGCAACTTTGCCCCCTCATTTCTCAAAAAACGTGCATATACTCAAGCTAAATTTTTTACCAGAGTTTTAGGGTATCATAAGGTATCGTTTGGGCCCGGTTTCAGAAAAATCCCCGCTGGCCCAAATTGTGCCATTCTTGGTGTCGCTCTTTAAAAAAGTGAAGGAGGAGAACTGACCTTAGCTCAGCTCTGAGAATTCCATGACCTATAATAAAATGCAGTTTTTCTAGGTTGGATGTAGGCCTGGCCTCTAACCAAGACTGGTAGCTGTCTGCAGTGTACTCTTCATCTTGCAATTTCCTTCTCACATCGTCACCTAATTTGTTCTTCCGTTTCAGTGTTAGAGAGACTAGTTTGTGACGTATTGAGCGTGGTTTTGTCTTCAAAAATGTTTCCTGTAAAAAATAACAAGACCAAAACTAAAACATACAGCATACTAGCACATATAGTTAAAACATGATGATGAGAACTGAAATCATCATTTTCTCCAAATGAGATTTTACTGTAGGTGAGAGCCTGTTTCCCAAAACCTGCTCATATACAATTTCATCAGGGTACGGAAAGATATTTTTGATAACAGTGATTTCTGAGACAGAAATATATAAAAAGCTTCTTTACAGGACTGGAGGTGTTAAAAAGAAGTAAATTTTGCACGATGTAATTTAAGAATGCCCATTCAGTGCCTTTACATTTGCAGCTGTTAAATTACTATAAATATAAATATTTCTTGCAGCATTGTTTACTTACATTTGAGGTTTGGCTGGATAAAATTATTAAAGTTAAAGAATTTCATGACAACTTTCAAGTTTTCCATACTCTTCAATCACTTAATATTTAAGTCTTAGGAAGACTGACATTCCTTCGGAAAAATGATACGAGCCATAATTCATGATTAAAATGTTATTGCACCAACTGCAAGCTTAATGGTTTCATTAATGAGTATTAGAGGTTCTTAATTTAAAGAGCTTTTGTAATATTTTGTCAAAAAATAAAATTAAATATTTGGTTATGAACTTTTCAGGTATCGAAAAGGACAACTGCACATAATATAGGCACAATGGAGTTCTGTCAAGATTGTTGGAGTGATTTGAGCTCAACACAAAATAGAAGTAGAATTTGTTGACAAAGAAAACAGATAATTCCTTACAGGGTCCATGCCCATCATCTGAGCTTCTTGGAACTCCTTGCTACGGATGAAATTTCGTCCCAGAGTTGCTGTAACTTTGGACATAACGGATGTGTTGTCTCTGTCCATCGTGTGGTAGCGAGGTTCTGCTAGGTCACCACAAAATCTGAGTATTGTGATCCACAGTGCTTGCGCAGCCTGGAAAATTTTGACATATACACCTTATGAATGAGTTTGAAAGTAAGAAAAATTGATGAAGAATTCTCTAGCCTTCAATGGTTTTGTTCTACTTTTACTGGGAAAATGGAATGAAATTTGATTTACCCAAGGTAGGATTTTTTCTTTATTTTGGCATGAGACCTGAAAAGCGAGCTCACACTTGTGAATGAGATTCAAATCAAAATACTTAATGAGTTACCTATTAAGAAAAAGAGGAGCTTTCGTTTATTCATTCCAAATGACAGTTTTTTTTCTCTTTTTTCTTTATTTCTTGTTTTTTGTTTTTTTTTTTGTACTTCTTATCAAGAGGATACTCTAAGACCAAGATATAGATGGCTAGACTCAGAAAAAGCATATCTCAGAATACAGTGTTGTAAATTTTTCTTGTACATATTTCATTCAACAAACAAAAAACAACTTATTTCTATGTTTTGAACTTTTCTTTGGTCTTCCTTTGCCCTGCAATGATTATTCTGAATGAATCGCAAGTCATAATATTTGTTAGCTTTTCATAAAAATGATCAGAGAATTTAAGGGTCTGCGATTAAGTTTTATAGTTTCAGACTTTAGCCACTGATATTTCAAACATAATGTTCTACATCAGAATGACTGGCACCTGATAATAACTATTAAAGAGCCCCTTTGTGTTAGATTGGAGGAGTAATTGGGAGGAGAGGGGATACACACAGCTGCAAAATATCAGAAGAGTTAAACAAACCATAATTTTAATTTTTACTTTAAATGTAACTACTATAATTGGTCCGTGGCACCCATTTTTTAGGAAATTTACTTTCTGAAAATGCAGAATGAACTAGGCTGCTAGAACTTTTTTCATAATATTTCACCTCTAAATGGCAATGAAATCAGTTTTGAAAATTCCAAAAATAGGACCTGCTTGAAATGATATTTTTGGCGGGCTCTGATGATGTAGCCAGGCTAGGGAAAGATCGTTTGCCTTGCCACGTCAACCTGACCATTGGCTTTTAAGTGGTCAAATTTTGATTATTTTTTTTCACCCCTTAGAAATTAATTTTTGAACTCTTCGATGAAATTTTGGGAAGTTTCATATCCAGAAAACTGCAACAACCCTACAAAATTTTTCTGCCACTACCATATCATTATTAAACATGTAGTGAATTGGAGTAAGATTGTTCAAACCTCTTGTAAATAAGAAAGTTCAGAAAGGACATGCTACTTACCAGCTGATCTCCTTGCGTGTGCAGTGGTAACAAAGGGTGTTTGAGTGGTTTGCGTGAATATTGATGAGTGATGTTTCCTTGAAAATAAGTGGCAGCAAACTTTTGGAACTTGAATTCTGATAGATCTTCATCCTGTTCCTGTGATACTTGGATAGGACTCATGTCCTCTTCATCCTCTAGGTCTGTTGCAGCTGGAAGATCCTGCAGGAAAAATTTTCATTTTTTATTTACTTCTTCCTTCTATGACATGAACTTCAGTGAGACATTATCATTTACTAATGCTTCAAATTAGAAAATTAAAAAATAATTTTGTAGGAGAAGCAAAATAAAACTTCACTTTGAAGATTAAGTAAAATAAAATTATTTTAAAGCAGAGCAAAATGTAAATAATATTTGATAAGCAAGTTTTAAATTGTGATAGATACTATCTAAAATCTTGTATACATCAACGTTAACTCATTTTTATGCTAGAATGGTTTATCTATCTAGAAATCGAAAAAACTTGGGCAAAACAATCGCCCATCAACCGTGAGAGTTGACTTGTCTGGGCACAGTTATTCCGGGCAGTGTTGTCAAGTGTACTTGTCTATGTCTGCGAATGCGTTAATGTAAAAAGAAAATATTATGATGATTATCGAGAAAACTAAAGCAAGGGATAATTGCTGGACTTACCCTGAAGACAGAAGTTTCTCTAGTCGGCAAGGGCGCTTCACTACTCGAGTCTGGTAAAAAGTCGAACATAGCTTCAACTAATTTACTATCATCTACTGGTTCATCTTCTTTTTTCGCCGCATCGTTAATTAAATTTCGCTTGATTTCCATTCTTCGTCGTTCTTCGTACTCCATTTCCATTTCTTTACGTTCCATTTCTTCTATTCGATCCTAAGAGTAAAAAGTACAAGGGGAAATTACTAGTAAACCAAAAAAAAATTTATCACATCCACAACATTTGAAGCATTATTTCATTTCAGGTAAATAATCTAGTTTTATCCTAGTTTGATGAGTCTTCTTGTTTATCTATTCTTTTAATCCATTATAGTCTCCTGCTAATTATTCCTGGATTAATCAGGATGAGCTATACTGACAAGATATTGACTGGACCGACGATCATGGAGGTGATATAAAAAATTTACTCCAGATTTCATTACTAACGATTTGTAGATGATACATTTTCACATGATACATTCAAACATGATCTGATTCCACACCAATTTTATTCCAAAAAATGTTTAGTGATTCTTATTATATAAATGGACTTGGAAAAATCCTTTGGTAAAGAGCACTTGCAAAGATCTGATTCACCACAAAACAACTTTTTATACTATACTTATCATTTCATTATGCCAACTGTTAGGACAGGCACGGTAAAACTTTATTTTATTTTTTTCTTAGAAAATAATCAAAACTTCATTTAATATAGCTGTATATCCAGTCCATGAATAAAATAGAAGGATCCAGAGGTGCAATCAATGATGACAAAAATAAATTAAGAGGGGAAAAAACCTCTTTTAAATCATCAATGCTTGACTGGGCAAGTCACAAAAGTAGCAACACATGTAAATTGATGAAAAAGTAAAAATGAAACTCACCCTGTAATGTTTTTCAGCTATTTCCTTGGCTCGTTTGTTGCCAGCTTCTTTCAACTCTTTCTCTTCCTTCTTTTTCAATTTCAAAGCTTCAATTTGGTTCCGATATTCAAACTAAAAGAAGAAAAAATGTATGAACAACAAGTTTTAAGATTTCAGAGGCAAAAACAGTTGTTTTAATTAAAATTTCCGGTTTGTTATTTTAATTATATAGTATGATACTTCTAATCATGGCAACTACGCAGACTGCTATCATATTTGGGTCAAGATGTGCAACTTTGAAGAAATAAAAAACAATTATATACCCATCTACTTCGACTAATTTCTTAGATGTCTCTGAATCTGTTTAGAACTATAACCACAATAATGAACTTACAAGTTTTCAAACATAATAGTCAAGGTATTATTTTTTATAAAATTTAATGTATCAGTCTGTCATGTGCAGTAAGTCTCATGAGCTTAGTTATGAAATGAATTGGAGGTACCCACGGTTAGACAAGTAATTGCTGAGACAACGAAGAGATATGAATGTCATCTTGAAAAACATGTCAATGAGGAGGCTGTAAACCTCTCAGATAGTACAATATTGGTGAAAAGATTAACAAGGTGGGAGACCTTTGAACTCTCATCAAGATTTACCTTGTAAGTAGTCTGTAAGGTATGAATGAGAGTGTGAATGGAGTGTGAATGGAGTGTGAAAGAAAGAATGCGAAACCATTAAACTAAAAACCTTTATGTTATAATATCTCTAAAAAAGAAGGCAGAGAATTTTACAATTCCTGTTCTTTTAGATAATCATCGTATTATCTGACGTTACCATGTAAAATTAATGCAATTTGTTTAGTTTAAGTTTTAAACCACGTAGATAGATACAAGGAAATACTTGTAGTAGTTATGTTATATTTAAATAAAATTCCTTCAAAAAAAAAAAGTTATGAAATAATCTGTGCCAATTTATCCTTTTTTTACCTCCCGCATTGTAGTTTCCTGGAGGGGGATTTGCACACCACTAAACGCCTCAATAAATGACGGATATTTTTTAGTTTATATTTTTAAAATGTTAAACCTGTAGTTGACGATGACTTGGCATTCTGATCATTTAAATATTTTCAATGAGATTAAAGCCAAAAAATCTGTTCTTCAGTAAAAATGCAAGATGGTTAATCTCTTTTCATTTCCTCAGCAAACAAACCTCAGAAGGATGGCATCTAAAATCTAACATCTAACACATAACAGGGTGTCTACCAGTTATGAAAAATGAAACTTGGGGACTTTCCGGGACTTATAGGGAAGTTTTTTCAAGAAAATCGGGGACTTTTTTCCCCAAAATAGTGAGAGAAAAGGAGCTAGTTAGAGCGTCAAAAGGCGTACTTTATACGACTTACTTTGCGAGTCATGTTGAAATGATTAAAACATACGAAAAACTAAGCAACACTTCAATTTTTTTTAATCCTGGTTGTGCCGCGCCGCCGCGAAAATTTGAAAATGCCGATGTTTAGGACGATTTTTATTATTTTTGGGGGACCTGAACAAGAAAATTGGGGACTTTCCGAGATATCGGGGACACCCTTCCAAAATCGGGGATAATCGGGGAAATTGAGGACTTTTGGGGACCGGTAGACACCCTGTATAAGCAATAAATGTACCAGCCCAAAATTACTTTGATTTTGTTGAAGCGCCTTTGAGCAATAATCCTCCGAACATGAGCTTGAATCTTGACGATTGCCCACATTTTCTTAGCGTACATTCTTCGAACAAGATAGCCTCTTGCTCTAGCTTGGAGACCAACGATATGTCCTCGCAAGTGTCGGAACCGGTGTGATAGAACTCTGGATCGAATGAGAGCCTGAAGTCGCATGTAACCGACTCGCATTCGCTGGTACCTTCTCCGCTGTGCCCAACCCTTCCAATACTTCTGAATAGTCATTGTCGCGGCTTTCATGCGTTGATACCTTATTGAAAAATAATAATACATAAATAAATATGGACATAATAAACAAACATAATAAATGAGGAATAAACAAAATAACATAATGCACATAACTGATGACAAGTGAGCAACCTACATGATGATAAAGAATTTGGATAACCATGCGAGTGAGTAAAGTTAATTTTTCTAAGATTTGTTCATGCGCTATCTCTGTACCTTGTTCCACAACAATTGGTTGTTCATTCCCTGTAATGCTTAAATTTTGAGTGTTATAGCTATGAATTTCCCAAATTCTTGTTAACCCATTGACTTAAAATGACGGCTCCCAGCCGTCATCGCAGCGCTGGGCCAGCTCTGAAATGACGGCTCAGAGCCGTCCGCTGATTGTTTGCGTAATTTCGGCAATTCTCCGGTAGATTGCGTTCTCATCAATATTTATATGAGTAGTGTGGCCACCCTATGACTTATTGTGTACGGTAATTTCTTGTTTTGTCACGGTATTTTCATATTACTGTGCGTTTGCACATGAAATAACCTCAAAATTTTCTGATTTTCGCTGATTTTGCGATTTAGACAGCTATAAACCACATAAAAAAATCATTGTGTTCAAAGTTTACACCATTTTTCTCAAACGTTGTATTGTGAATGCTTATTTTGTCAATTTTCACCCTTTGAGAAATAATTTCTGGATTATTTTGAAGTGTTCAAAGTTGCTGATTTTCGCCAAATTAAATCGTAATTCCTGGCCCGGTAGGGTCAAATTAAATCATAAGTCAATGGGTTAAAAGGCCACTCTAATGGAAATAAATGATACAATGGTGAGTATGGTAGTCCTGAGAGAAAAGTCCAAAGGTCCAAAATTTCATTTTCTCCCCAATAAAATGAATTAAGTGCTTCTTATTGAGATTTCATGAGCACATGCCAAAACACTGGTGCAATTTACCTTCTCCGATAGACCCATCCTTTTATTGACTTCTGAAGGATAAGAATATTCCTAGTCAGAACACGATCTCTTTCTTGCTCCAGAAATAGGTCATGCGCATCCTTCAAGAATACTTTTGTGTTTCCTAATTGGTAATCAGAACGTCCCAAAACTGCCTGACAAATTCGTCCCGTTGCTGCACGACACTCCGTCTAATAAAAATAGAAACATTGAATTTAACAAAAAATTTCATCAATGTAATTCTCACAGAATTTCCTAAGAAATATTTGTGGATTAGCGAGGATAAACAAAATAAAAAATCTATCGAAGGTAACTATGAACTCTTGTAAAGTCAGCTATTTATCGAAATTGGGAAGATTTTATATGGAATAGTTCAACATTTTGGTAACTTTATTTAAAAAATCGAAGTAAAAATTTATCACATTTTGAATACTGTTCTTCATAACTGATGTTAGCAAAAAATTTTAATGCACGACTCTTATGCAATTAATATAGTAGCATTCTCTGCAGAAAGTGTAAAAATCCATTGTTCAGTTTTGGAGAGCAGCATCAGCAAAATAATTGAGTTTTCTCACCAAAAATGATTGATGTTTGCTCAAACAGGTTGAAAAAGGTTTACAAATTATGACAAAGATCATGGTAATTAAAAGTTATCAACCTCAATGATAATATGAAACTTGACTCGACGGAGAGCCATGCTAACACGCTGTGTCAGAAATTACTCCTGGTTTGGTGACTGCAGTAGGTTATGGCTGCGTATGTGACAGAACATCTATTGGCAAGCAGAATTTCTAACTAACCTTATGAGCGGGAGGTATGCCTGGAATGAGGAACCGGTACCTTTCGACAAATTCTTTGAAAGTGTGTCTTATTGGGTACCCAGCTCTTCGTATCCGAATTGTTTCCATCATACCAGAGTAACGTAGTTGCCTACAGCATAACCCTCGGTCAAACAACTGGAAAAGGGAACAATAAAACATTGATAATCTCAAAATAAGTTATGACTTGGTGAAAAACACAATAAATATGAAAGCTGAATTGCAGATGAAATACTAGTTGATCAGCAACGGAAATCTGACGAGACACTCTACATTTGTTCTCCAAGTGTTTCAGCGAGATTAATCGCCAGCTATTCTTACAATGTATGTTTACAAAAATATATAAAATTCCCAAAACATCATTTTAAGAGGGGGTCAAGTTCATTATAATAGAATGCATCAGGTCAGGGATGTTCAAAATGACATCGTGATAGATAGCATGATCAAATAGCTAGTTTTGTATGCCTTCCACAGTGGAAGGATCTGGAGCTGTATTATTTAGGTATCTCAGAGCACTAGAAAATGCTGACAAATCAACTTTTGCATAGGTTTAAACTTGTACTTACCATCGGTTTTTTAAATTCATTTGGTTTGATACATCTTATGAAAAAAGGTTGACATGTGCTCAATGTTTTCATTAGTAAATCAAGTGATTTCTTGAACTGTGTTGATAACGTTGGTGCACGTTTTCTTGTTTCAGAGCCCATTCCAATATCTTCCGCAAATAGTAATTTAAGGAACTTATTATTAGCTATATGAATTAACTGTAGGAGATCAGCACTAAATGTATCTCGATTTTTTTCCAGGAAACCTGGAAAAAGAAAAAATAATATAAGATACCTTGAGATAGCAGAGCAATATATTGACTAAATAAGATCATAGATGAATTGCATTTTGCAATAAGGGACCACTTTTTCCGGCTCTTCCATTAAAGTACCTTTCTGCATAGGGAAACCAATGGCACATATGCTGTTTCTTAATAGAGCAAGAAATAGTGGTTCCTTTTTGCAAAATGTGGTCCAGATGTACCTAGAGACTATGAAAACTTTTGGAAATCCAGATTTGTGAGGATGAGAATGATTTGAGAATGAGACCTTAAAATAGTTTCATCTATGTCTAAATCGCGCAAAAAAAATTACTCTTCAACCGTAGAAACAGGTACGCTTAGGAATTTAATTCACTGATGCAGCCCTTCCTTTTTCCAAACAAAGAGAGAAAAAGACGAAGTGAATTCAAAGATTTCCTTGTGAAAAAAGAGCTTTAGTGATTGGAGGATCTTAATCAACGCTTGGACTCGCCAGGATTTTAAAAAGGAGAAAAAGTAGTTTTAGAAAATATTTACAGACTTACCTCTTGTATCATAAAATACAACGCCAGCAAAATGATTTAAACCGAAGGAGGTGTTAATGTCTGACTTTGGTTTTAGGTAATTTCGATGTCCTCCATGAGTTTTGTGAAGTTTTGCTAACATTGTTTGATCGGTACCCTGAAAATAAATTAAGTTACAGCTTTTAATTCAATAATAACATTAAAACATCCATCTTTAATTTCAAAATAGTCTTCAAGTAAATTATCACTGATGTCACCTAGGAAAGTATGACCAGCCATACTAAACTTAAACATTGCGTAAAACTAATGTCTCTCGTCACTTACTCATTTTGTTTTGATCCACCTTGACTTTGAATTGAATTTTAAAAATTTCTTCGTTCCATACAGATATTATTTGAATTAGGAGAGCTTTGTTTCTCTGTGTATGCTATGTATAGGTGCGTAGCATGCAAATGACATATTGACATGATGGAGACATACAAATAAATACTATATTTTATGTTTTTTAATAAACAAGAGATAAATCCATACGAGAACATTGCAACATTTGAGCATTAGAGTATGCATCAGACGGACAAAAAAGAAAACTATGACTCTCTGGTAGAAACTAGGAAATTATTTAGGGAATTGTTGAAATGGGATGTTACCTTAGGAAACTTGGACTCTTCATCAATGAGAGCCATGATGTTCAACTGCTTGATAGCAATTAAATCTAAAGCATCTTGATTGTCCACAAATTCTATATGCTGCCAATTTATTCCTTCCAGATTATATTCTTCTTGTTCCAGTTTGAAAATGTGTTGCACAAAAAACTGTTGTAGATTCTCATTTGCAAAATTAATGCAGAATTGCTCGAAACTGCAAATTGAAACGTAAAATTTACTTGAACATCATTACTGCAAGCTCCTCAAGCATCTAAATTTTCACTTTTTGTCACAGTTAGTTCTACCATTCTATTGGGCTGACTTTAATGAGATTTACGACTAGGAGCAGGTGATAGTCTCTAGATAAGCTCGCTCTGTTCAGATTTCTGAATGACTCTTATGTTATGTCTTAAAGTATTGAATTCTTACATTTAAACGATGTAAACGCTTCTTGTTCTGTCACAGTTTGTAGGGCAGATCTTACTGGGCCGATTTTTATGATTTTTGCGACTATCGATTCAAGATAGCCCCTTTGAAGAAGCAAGCCTTAGAATACCAAGTGCTCTCGGGGGGTTGAGTCAAGTAGCAACCAAGGGGCACGCCCCCTAGTAATAAAATAGGTGCTGAAATACATATTTACACTGCTGTTGAGCTTGATGAAACATAAAAAATAAAAATTAAAGCATACTTTCGTTGAGCCTCTGGGCCTTCAATACAGGTATATAGATAAGACATTTTTGGGCTACATTGAATTCGGCGAAATTAAATTGATTGCGATTTGTGAAGATGAAAATATGGACAAAATTTTTCTCCTTAGCATGGCCATACAACTGAAAATGAAGCGTAATGGCACTGATGTGCGACTGATAAGTGGACGTATTTCTACGAAATGGAACTAAGCGCCATAGGAGGAGGAAGGTAGAGGGGGGCTTGGATTGGCGGTGGAAACGGGCGTCGGGCTCGTTCCGTCCTATACTCGCAATGCTTTTCCATGGCGCTTAGTTCCGTTTGACAGAACGCGCTATCCGGCATTCTAAATTCCTCAAGAGGAACTCAAATTGGCGCTTAGGTCCGTTTGACAGAAATGTGTCTAAGTGTTAAGGTACAAAAAAAAGACGAAGAGGAAAAGAGCATAATTACTAATGGACTTACCTATTCATTTTAAAGTTTTCAAATCCAAAAATATCGAGTACCCCAATGGCGCTCCTTGCAGTAGACTTAGGTTTGTAAATAGCATTATTAATTTTATTGACTATGTACACAAACAATCGTCCATAAATACCCTTGACAAATGCATCTCTTACATCCACAGATTGCTCCCGGGAAAGAGTTGATACCTGTAAAACAGGAGACAGAAACTTCCTAGTCTTTTGCGTAATTTCTTTGCGCTTTAAACAATACCTATCATTCTTTTTAATAAAGTTCTATTTAATAAACGAACTTCGCAAGACTTGGCAATTTTACTTAAAAAGGATGTAAAGTCCTGGAAGCTTTGTTCGGCAAAGAATCCTGCCTCCATCTTCTGGACACTTATAGAATAGGAAGGGGAAGATGATTGGGAACAAATACATTTTAATATTCACATGAAAATGATCATTACGTTGATGTAGCACACTTTTGAATTGAGTCAGATATTTTTTTAAATTCTGGATTAAAAAAAAACATTCATAAGTAGGTGTTAAATGAGAAAATTTTACAGAGCAGGGAATAGATTTGACTTTTCACCAATGTAGTGCAATGTGATGAAAAAGCATGACTACCTTTAAATGTATTGTATTTTCCTTAGTGCTGCGATATAATTGAAGAATTCAACTTACCACTGTTTCCCCATGAGCAAATAGTGTCTTGAGAGTTAAAGCATCTATCAATGGTTGCTTGGGAACACCTAATAAATTGGCTACACGAGATACATTACTATGATCTGGTATTTCCGTTGCATCCAGGTTATCTGGAGGGGGAAAAAAAAGAAACATGAATTATTTTTAAAAGTTTTAAAGGGAGAATGAGATAAAGTAGCTGACAAGAACTTTAGTGGCTTAAATTTTGTATATTCTAGGTGGTGGTAATTACCTTTACTTTTCTTGAAGATAAAAATGACTAAGTAGTACAGATACTCAATGAAAAGATGAAAAAGAATCTGAATGAGATAAAGAACATGGCTGTGAGAAAATTATTATCATGGCAAATGTGAAACTGACAGCAGTTTGCAATAGTTTACAGACTAAGTTTAACAGAGGAAAATCATTTGCAAAGGAGGAATAACTGCCTCAAAGGCAGGGCGCTATGTAAAAAATTAAATATTTCAAACCCAATTTTCAGAAACGAAATATTTATTCTTGACTCTGAATTTTTGAAAGGAATAAATGAAGAAGTTGTTTTAATTGAGCTCAAAACAACTCTTGACTCGATTTATTTAACAAAATGGGGATTAGATCCATTCAGAAATTCCTGGATTCATTGTCGTTCTAGATCTAGTGAATTGATTTTGCTTTAAATTAAGGTTACTGGGAGGAAATTATACCTCCATGACGGGAGAGATGAAACAGTGGAGGACTTACCGATAATAGCTGCCTTGTATTTGATATTCCCAGTATGCAAGAGAGCTGCTAATAATTTTAGAACATCCCAAATTTCTTGTTCAGTGAAAAGTAATACTTTCATTGCTGATCTGATGTCAGCAAATTCTGCTGCATCGTCTCTTCCTTCACAGGTAATACTACCGCCCTAAAAAGAGAAAAAAAATAAGAAATAGGAATAACGGTGATGGGTGGACTAACTATTCCAGATAATGGACCACTAGACAAGGTACGAATTAAAGCAATATGATACATGTTTCTTGACTAAAATTTCACGCAGAACACGATTCGTGCAACGAAAATTACCGAAATCAACTCCTTACGAAGATATTTAATGATTCCTGATGCGTGAATTCAAACCACCCGCTCAATAAAACTCAATGCTCTACGTGATTCACATCGCGCGTTGAATATTATCGTGACAGTCTCTGCGATATGAAAATCTGGCAACCACAATTTTGACGCTTTGGCTCAGCTATAGCAAATTGCTTATAATTTGAACAACATATGGTGGGAAATGAACAGTGCTCGATTGAGAGGCTTGCTGAAACTGTTGTAGAGCGCGATTTGACTCACGTAGAGCTTTGAGTTTCTTGTGACCGGGCAGTTCAAAATCCGCGTAACCAATGTGAAATAAAAAGGATAATATCTTCGTCAGGAGTTAGTATCAGTAATTTTCGTTGCGCGAATCGTGTTCTCCGTGAAATTCTGATTAAAAAACATGTATCAGAATGCTTAAATTCGTACCATGTCTAGTGGTCCATTGTACAGCCAACGTTTTTCATGGTCCTCCTCTTCTATCTCTGATAGAAAACATTTTAAAGGAATAATTTAGAGAAAAATCAGACTGCAATTGGATGATATTGAATATGCCAGACTCTTTCCTAAAACAGCTATTCTCTTCACATTGATATTGGCATTTTTTGGATGCCTGGAAAGTAGGGAAGAAGGCCAACTTACATACTGCGTATGGTATGAGATTGGCCCTTCCAAGCTCTTTTCAAAATGGTATTAGCTAGAGAAATTGGTGAATGAAAGGATACAAGGATTTATTTCCAGGATTTTGGTTGTGATTTTGTAAAAGTTAAGAAACATTCCAAGACCTGGTGATGGGAGAGAGAAGAGATCATTTACTTCCTCATGATGGGAAGACTTTACTCAGTTTCCGAGACGTTGAGTGATAATTTACCCTTTTAGCGGCCCTGGCAGTACTTTTGGGGCAAATTATATACAACAGAGGACGAAACTGACACTTCCGAGAGGATGGACCTCTTCAAGATGAAGGAATTAATCAAATTATTATCTTACCCCAACAAGATATTTGTACTGGGAGGCATCACCAAGTTCTAACTTCTGCTTCTCTTCTTTTGACAAACCGGCCAGCATGCAATAAAATATGTGGTAATTGCGTTCATCCTGCGACTGAGACACTATCCGAGACTTTTCTAATAAGTACTGTTCAATTTTTGCTCCTTCTATGACCCCATTATGATTAAAATGGATGTCGATGTACTTCCCAAAACGTGAAGAGTTGTCATTGCGGATTGTTTTTGCATTTCCAAAAGCTGGAGAGAGAATTGAGGTAAATTACTCTTTTTTGAACAAGAAAAAAAAATTGAGGTTTAAAATAAGCATGGACAAAAACGAGAGGCTTGAACGAACGAAACTGAGACATTGTAATGCATTGCGTCTGACACATAATTCACTCGATTAACAGTTTTTCAATTATTTTTTTACATAGAAGAACCGAAATACGAGGCATCAGTTACTAAAATTTATAGCACAAAATTTGCAAGTCATTTCAATTTTTGAAATAAATTATGGCATGGCTATAATTCGCAGCTGACACAATACACAAGCCACAATACACAATACACAACATACAATAGCCTATGCAGCTGTGTGTCTTGCAATACACAATATACTATAGCCTGTGAAGCTTTCATACAACTAATGGTACACAAAAAACTGTGAGCTAAAAGTTACTTATGTTAGGGCTTTCAAAATTTGAAACCAGGGAAGGCGTGAGTTTTAATTTTAGGAGGAAAACTCATTGTCCCAACGTTCTGCTCCAAAACAGAAACTTATATACGCTTTGCTTCCAATTTGTGACTGCTACAGCTAAATTGCAGACAGTAACTAGCTTCCTGTAATGTTCATTTATCTTGTTTTTGTCTAGAAAAGGTGTGAATGAGTCAGTTAAGCTGGTCACATAATTATGTTTCGATGGGTTAAGCTTTTAGATTAGAAACAAAAAATAAGATCCGTCAAAACGCCAAGTTCTGCTCAGAGTTATTAATGATTCAAACCAGTGATAATGTTGGTACCTAGTGAGATTAGATAACGATTCGCCCTTAAATCAGTGAGGTGAATTTCATCTGAAGAGCAATATTCGCATCGGCTAGCATGAAAAAAGTGCTATGAAATATGTGTGCGATGATTTTGAAAAATCTCAGTAATTAATTTACAATCAGTTTTATAGGATGTCTCAGATATTCGAAATTACCTTCCAAAATTGGATTTGCTTCCAAAATTTGCTGTTCAATCCAAGAATGTTTCCCACTGATAGCCGCTAAATACTGTAAAATTAGTTTTGTGCTCTCTGTTTTACCAGCTCCACTTTCACCACTGGAAAAAAGTTAAAGACATTCGTAAGATATGCACAGAAATAATGGTACCTATAGAATGTGTTATGCAAAATATGCATTCGTAATTACATGCAATTTCACCTTGGACTGTGCTTTAAATTTAAGAGCCTTACAATTGCTGTAAGTTCCAAGTTACAAATTGATGTAATGCTCATCCTTGATTAAATCAAGTAGTGGATGAAAAAATTAAGGAGGAGAGGGGGAAAAGTCCACAGAATTATTGAAAGTTTTCGGACTTCAAAAAAATATTTTAGGGGGGGGGGAATTTAAATTTGTTTTTATCAAACAAGGCTCTCTAAAACTCCACCAGTTGTTGCTTTTATTTCTGTTGGTGCTAAAATGGAATTTTATAGTGATGTGATGCCTTCTCCAGAAAACAGAGGCGGATCCAGCAATTTGACAACACTGGATTTCCTCCATTTAAACCTATGCTAAATAATCGATTCTTGACGGAGCACCTTGCCCCTCTAAGAATCGATACATTTCCATGGGTTTAAACGGAGAAAAGACAGTGTTGCCAATTTGCTGGCTCCGCTAATGCCAGAAAACAGGAACCACAGATGGCGCAATGTTCACCACATCAACACTCCACAACATACTTAAAAACAGCACATCGCATCTTTTAAAATAAACCTTCAATTTCGACCAGAGCCACCTATTTTTTTCCCATAAAAACAAAACGCTAATAATGTGGCGATAGAAAACATATTTTTCACATTAAATTATTAAAAATCTTTTAACTATATCAGCTGAAGCGAGGACGAACTAACCTTATAACAATGCATTGATCCTGGCCGAATCGTTTCATATGCGTGTAACTATTATCACCTATGGCAAATATGTGCGGAGGTAATTCGCCAATTTTCCTATCTTTATACAACTTGATTTGTTCTGCCGTGTAGATCGGCAGTATTTGGTATGGGTTAACTGCAACCAGGATTGATCCCGTGTAAGTCTATTGGAAAATAAACAAGTCATGTTATCTCAAATGATAAACAATTGAAACACATTACAAAACAATTAAAAAAATTGATTGAACATTGGGTCAGTGCCAAGAGCCCATTTTTTCTGATTCATTTTTGGAACAATGGAGTGAACTGAGCTACTAGAAATGTTTTCGAATGTTTTCAATCCCTAAATGGCAAAGAAACCCCGTTATGAACATGCCAAAAAAAGAACCGGTTTGAAACGATATTTTTGGCGGGGGAAACTGCGTTTGCTGATTAGCTGAGCTCAGCTTCAGGCTTTGCCTTGCAGTGGTGTGGCGTGCTTTGCGATATATCGATTGATCTGCCATTTAAACATAAGGAGAGGATCGATAAACAGTGTATTCGCAACTAACACCTTAGTAACCGATTCTTTACCATAGTTTCAAATGAGGAAAAATCGATAATCGATCATTCACGCCTCGCCACTGTTGCCTTGCCTTGTCAACTCGATTGTCGGCTTTTGATTAGATTTTTCTCCCATCAGAAAAGCTTTTTTGAACTTATTGATGAACTTTTCGGTTTTTCATGAAAAGTTACATGAAAGGAACTACATTGTAACCCTGGAAAAACTCAGGATGTCTACTAAAACAGGCTGGCCAAAAATCAGTACTTTCACAGTGCATTCTCAAGAAATGCAGTACCTTCTCAACAAAAAAGTTCAGTACTATTTCAGTACCTCCATTTGGCGGAGATCGAAGAATTTCTAAATTTGAATTTCTCGCTCAGATAGCGACAAGAAAATGACACGAAATTGGAAAAATTCCGGACCTCCTTGCGGAACTTGCGCACTTTTTCAGTACTTCCGGACCGCCCTTAGAAAATGAGTGCTATTTCCGGACTTTGCGGACTTGTCAGAGACAAGAGACCCTCCACTAGTATCTTGGCCATGGTGGAAGCTTTTACTTTCGGGGCTTCAGCATTCTACTGTTGACTTACCTACATGGTTGATGTTCAACAACGTGATGGCAGTTTCGTTTTGCAAACAAGCCGAAGATGGCCGACGTTTGTGAAAGTTGTTTGGCTCATGACGTCACCCGAAGCTCATCATCGACCATGTAGGTAGGTCAACAGCCGAAATTAGGGTGATGACTGTTGCTCCCTTATAATTGTCCATAAGTAAGGAACTGTTGAATCCCCGAAAGTAAAAGCTTCCACCTGTCGCCAAGAGGCCAGTGGAGGGTCTCTTGTCTCTGGGACTTGTAGACACGCCGACCTTGTCCCTGCCCCGTTTCTTTGAGAGAAAATGGAGGTTAAAGATGACTTACGTAGATAAGATTTTCATTGTAGCGGATGAGGAGATTACGGAGAATGCCAGCCTCATGGAGGTCCCCGAGCGATATCATGTCCTCGACCCCTTGGACGGAGGTGGCGTGCATGGCTTTGATCCGCCGCTCCGGAGTGAGCCATACCTCCTGAAACACACCAACAAACATAGTAATCACACTTTTTCAACCTCTTTTTCAAAATCTACGCTCCTCTTCGTTCAAGACAACAAATAAACATCATTCCTTGAAGCTTTCTCAGAATTTGTATCCTACAGAAAAGCAAAATCACCGACATTTTCAAGAATAGGCCGCTGGACAAGGTCTCAAGTATGAGAAAACCTCACCAGTTTTCTCGCCAAAATCTCACGTAGTAAGCAGTTCACGCAACGGCAAGTTTTCAAATCGACTCCTCAACGAGATATTAACACGTCTTCTGAACACAGGTCAAATGGAAGTTCCATTATACAAATGGACTGCATTTTGCAATTTGGAACTATAAATTTCGGCCCGCTTTAAAAACAACTTATGTGCCATTAGTTTCCCTATGCACATAAGTGTTTTTCCAAATGAACCGGGATTATAGCTCCAAATTGCAAAATGCAGTCCAAATGACGTCATTTGTATTTTGGCCGTTTCTTGTTCAAGTGGTAATTTTCAGACTTCCCGTCGTGTGATTCGTTCTCCATGTAGAATTTTGAGGAGAGCGCGCGTAGCGTTGTGCTTCAATTCATACCTTGTCCAGAGGCTTATTGACGTTGAATCAATGATCAATCAATGGTCAATTTCAAAAATAAAGTCTCCAGACTCAAGTTCATTGCAGAATGAAGGAAAAGGGCCGTTGTTGCCGATTTAAAAGGGAAATGCGGCAGTGGCGTGGATGATCCATTATCGATATTTCCCCCATTAGAGCTGTGGTAAAGAATCGATTGTTATCGATTCTTTACCACAGATCTATCGATTGTATGTGGTAAAGAATCGGGGAGGTTTTGAGGAAATTCTGAAACTCTGGCGAGTAAATAAAAGTCGAGAGGAGCTGTCTGCTTCTTTGTAGCGAGAGCGATTGAAATACCGGACGGCGTTAGGAATTTGAACTTCGCCAATGCACGAGGAATGTCAAGAAAGCGTGCACCTTTCCGGGTAATCAACTGGCAAATTTGGCGATGACGGTGGATCAGGCATGCACACATGGATGCATTGGCGGGGGGAAAAAGTACCTACATTTGCATACCTCCCGATAAAAAAGGATCACACTTTCGCCAACAGCAACGAGAAAAACTAAGAGACGAAACTTTCGCCCAAGTTTTTTCCATGAACGATTAGCCTTCCTTCAACTGTACGGAAGTGAGAAGAAAACAAAGCTCCACTACGCGTTAATTATCTTCATATCAATGGCGAAACTGCAAAAATGCACATCTCGATCGCGCTGTTTCAAAATCTCCGCTCCGCTTTTATTTCTTGAAAGGAGACCAAACCAACATCGTGGCTTAAAATTTTCACTCTTCACTTGGAGAAGAAAAATCACCGAGGTTTTCAAAAAAAAACATTTTAGGGTGGTTTCACGATAACTGGAATAGTTTTGTCGTCGTAACAGACAACACACTGTTCGGTCATACTTTTAGTATAAATGATAATCACTCGAGTATTTTCGCATTGATCTTCAAAGGGTTACGTATTATAACGCTTCCTAATGATTTATTGCTCTAATTCTCAATTAGTATTATGTAAATTCCGAAAATGTGCTGTCTGTTACGCGGTGAAAAGTCAGCCTAACAGACGGCACATTTTGGGCAATTATCTACATATTAAAATTGAAAAGTAGAGCGACACATCTTTGAAAAGCGTTATAACACGTAACCCTGTGTAGATTAAAGCAAAAAAATCCGAGTGATTATGATTACTACTAAAAATCTGATCGAAAAACGTGCCGTGTGTTACGGCGACAAAACTATTCGAGTCGTCGTGAAACCATCCTTTGCATCATTACGAGAAATTTTCAGGGAGTCACCCTGAAAAGTAGCATGAACTCCGGAGGCTGTGGGNGATGAGCATTTACTTAACGGTACCTCTTCTTCCGCGGTCAATCCCCGGCTTGGGAGAAAATCCGGCAAGAGCCAGCGGGAGATTTCCTCGTGCGATAGTTCCAGCCACGGAGTTGACGATGCTTTTCAGTATCCTGCTTTGGCTACGGATGGCGAGCAAAATTTAAAGCCCCTCCTCCAGCCTATTTTTTCCCTTTGCGGAAAATTTTAATTGGCTTGATGACATTGCATGGCTAGTGCGAGGAAGGAGCCCACGATATTTTGGTCTTTTATCTCTGCTCGTGGCACATTCTCCACTCCGTGGCACATACTCCACTCCGTGGCACATACTCCACTCCGTGGCGCTCCACTCCTGAAAAGTACAGTCGCGAGGGTGGAGCGATAGGAGCGACAGAGCAAAGCGCCGACAAAGAATGAGGAGAGGGAGGCAGAGAGGGAAAAACAAAATAGGAGAAGAAGAAACGGAGAAAAAATGGAGGAGGAAAAAGAGAGAGGAACAGAGGGACGAGGGTGAAAAGGATTGATATGGGCGCCTCTTTTCATCGAAAATCACCCTCCGGCGTTTTGACGTGAGGTCTCGTGCCTCCCTCCGGAAAGAAGGCGCTCTTTTCGGCGCCTCTTTCTAACAGGAGGCATATTCGGATACAAAATGTGGCCTCAGAGGCTGAATCATTTAAAACATTTAAATTAAACCTCCATTAAAAATGCAGTCGTTTCAGATAATTTATCGTATACTACGCAAAAGAAACGCCTTCATTAAGAAAAGATACTTCCTGGTGCAGCCGCGGAGGCCGAATAGTTGCATCATTTAAAAACCCGATCAACGGTGAGGCAGCATTGCTTAACGAGTAATGCAGTTGCTTCAGATGATTCTTTGGATTCTACACATAAAAAACGCCTTCATTGTGAAAAGATGCTTCCTATCGTGGCCGCGGAGGCCGAATAGTTGCATCATTTAAAAACCCGATCAACGGTGAGGCAGCATTGACAGCGAGTAAAGCGGTTGCGTGAAATATTTCCGTAAAAGTTGCTCAGACAATCTGCTTGAACTCTACTAAGCCCATTTTCTCATAACTTCATTTTTTTCTCTCTTGGCTAACACAGCAGAGCTGGTCCATTGAAAATAGTCCATAACTTTAGACACAGGCGGTAGTATCGAGGATTTTCAATCGAGTTCCTTGAAAAATCTATTAAATTGCATCCATTTAATGGCGTTCGATTAATCGTGTGAATCGATTTTTCTCCTCAAAATCGAAAATTATAATTTTCGCTGCCCGAATGTGCTAAATCGGCACGTGAGCCGATCTTTGGGCCCACATTTTAGAAAACTTCCCGGAAATTTTCCTTCGAATTTTTCTAAGGGTGCAAATTTTGAGTGTTCGTACTTTCCGAGTTTATTAATCGATTTTTTTTCTTTCTAATTTTTTACTTCCAAATAGCCGACGAGGGCTAATCCTTGCGCTCTGGTCCGGTCCCCCTCCGTCCCTACAGCCAGTCCCCGGCCATTATTGTTTGAGACCGTCAAACTCGGGTCGCCTGACCGGGAATCGAACTGGGGACCTACCGATCAAAGAGCTAGCGCTACAACCACTACACCATACTGCCGTGCTAAAGGAAGAACGCCGTAAGAGCCTCCAGACGTTGCCAAATTTCCTCCGACAAAAACCGAAATTACAGGGAAAATTGTGAATATTTTCCCCTAAAAATTTCAGACAATTTCGTACGCAATTTAATCTAATATATCTGAAAATTTAAAAAATGTGCTTGAATGTTGTGAAAAATTCATGTTTTATTCGGGGAAATTTGGCAACTCTCGAATGTTCATACGGCGTTCTTCCTTAGCACGGCAGCATAGGAGGCCGACGAAGGGTGCCGAAACGGGCCGATTTTTGTCAGGATTGAATTCAATAAAATCGGACTCTCAAGGAAAATGAAATGGATTGGAATTTTGGATTTTTCGCAAAAAAATCCCCTGGGCTAGGCGGCTAGGCGGCGAGGCTGAAGCTGAGGCGGGGCGAAGGAGGGGCGAGGCGACTCGGAGGAGCGGAAGCTGAGCTTTGCACGAAGTTGGTTACTAGTTCACTGGCAGAGTCCGAGTCGGTGCGGTCATGGTGCGGCCGCCGCGCCGCGCCGCGCCGCACGGCCGCACCGCGTAGCATCCCAGCCGAGCGGCCAGCGCATACCACTTTCTCCCTCATGAGTAACGAGCCGGCTGCGGACTCTGGTGTCTCGGCCGCGTGGAACTTGACCTTCTTTGACGGACCCGATCCAACCGTAGCTACTCCCGCCGTCATAGCAAACAGAGCCGCAAGTGCAAAAATGAAGTTTTCAGATAATCGGCTCACTGGCATCTGAGCGAAAATCCTTTCATTAAATCGATTCCATTTTCTTTAGGAATCCCACCTTACTGATTCGAATATAGATGCTGCATGTGTGAGGAATTCCACGATAGTGAAAAAGAACTCGGCCTCTTTTTGGCTGACTCGGAGACTAAAACGCATGAGTAGAGAAGTTGGATGGGGCGAGATGCGTGATACAACTATTTTAACTTCCAAGAAGATAAAATTGCATACCCACAAAATGAAGGAGAACATGGCGTGAACTCTTTTCGGCTAATGGAGATGTTGCATGTGTGAGGGATTTGCGATTTGACGATTGATTCTTACGTAAAAGTTTGCGAGAAACACGATGGTGCCACTGGTTTTCCCTGAAATCAACTCCCAAGCTCAAAAAAAGCTCTCAAAGTTGAGGGCGTAATGGAGGGGAAATCCCACACAATCCTGAGAGTCCACCTCTACATCAAGACGAACTCTCCATGCAAATATAGGGAGCCAATACATTGACAGGGCTGCCACTTTATTTGGGGACTCTATAACTGAAAACACGGCAACCCTGCGATGTACTTCCTCCCTATCTTTGCATGGAGAGTTTGTCTTGATGTAGAGGTGAACTCTCAGGATAGCGTGGCCTTCATTACGCCCTCAACTTTGAGCCGCAACTTTGAGAGCGTTTTTCGAGATTGGGAGTTGATTTCAGAGAAAATCAGCGGCACCATCGTGTTTCTCGCAAACTTTTACACAAGAATCAATAGTCAAATCGCAAATTCCT